CTGTCCAGAAAGATACCGAGACGAGAGGAAAAATGTTTTTCTATGGACCCACCGAGAGGAGACACTTTCTTTCGCAAGACAACAAATGGATGCAGAAGAACAAATAAGAAAGAGTCCCCACACTTCCTAAGGACATCCACAGAGGTATCCGCTGCCCCAGCCACAGTAACATCAGAAATACTAGCCACAGAGCACGCAGTTTCTCCGGAGAACGCTCTTCTGTCTGTAACAACAACAACTGTGGCAACGAACATGCTGAAAAGACAGAGGAGCTCAACCACAACTGGTCTTCTCTATGACAATACAAATAAACATTTGTCTTACTTGGAAAGAAAAAAACAGAGTAATGTGAATGCGCTTGCTAGAGGGCAGAAAATAAAGCAAAATGTCAAGTTTTGGGACCTGGACCTCAAACAAAACAAATCATCAAATGACACAAGAGGTGAGATTATAATACAGCATATTTTTATGATTAGATAATATATTAATTATCTTCAAATTGAGTATAATACATTAGACAAGCCATTTGGATGTCTGAAGCAAAGATCCAATTACAGTAAATAGCATAAATTGCAAACATGTTGTGTATATTAATTGGAATTTTGGATCTTTCAGATTACTGTGAAAGCCTGAAACATCTGGATGAATGTAGGTACAAGATCCCTCCTTTGAAGAAAAGGTTTGGCCTGAAGAACTTGGACACAAAGCCTGTATATCACTGTGCCTGTACCAGACGGTAATGCATACTTCCATATCTAAATGTGGCATTCTGGACATATTTTAATATGTTTATGATAAAAAGACAGAAAGCCCCTACCATTGTTTACTTAATTATGCACATATTCACTTTTCTTTGGATTCAGGCACAAACAATATATGGGTTATGGTCCCTGCATGTCCTTAATGGGGAGTTTGCATGTTCTCCCCACATTCAAGATTCAAGATTCAAGATTAATGTATTATGTCCCGTAGGAAATTTGTCTTGGACTCACAGGCTGCTACATTGAAAATATACATAAGACAGACATAAAACACAACACAGTAACACCGACATAAACCATCACCGCTCTGCTCGATGGCCTGCATTCAGGAGGTTCACAGATATGGGTAGGAATGAGTTCTTATACCGGTTTAGATATCGTTTCTTATTTCTAGTGGGTACTCTGTAGCGGCGGCCTGATGGGAGGAGCTCATATTGAGAGTGGAGGACATGGGAGGGGTCTGAGGTGATGTTCCTGTCCTGTCTAATTACAGTCTCCTCAAATATCTGCTGCAAAGATGGATGCTCCCCAACTCCCATGACTTTAAAGGCTGTGCGCACTAATCTGTGAAGTTCTGCTTTTGTTTTAACAGTCAAATTCCCAAACCACACACACATACCATACTGTATCTTATTACACTCTCAATTACAGCATGATAAAATAGCATCATTATTTTCCCCATACATGGGGAGAACATGCAAACTCCACTCAGAAAGGCCCTATTCCAACTGGGATTCGAACCCAGGATCTTCTTTCTGAGTAGCGAGAGTGCTATCCACTCAGCCACCGTGCCACATTTGGTTTGTTAGTGTGAAGCGTCTTTGACTTTCCAAAAAAGCTACGTGAAATTGAACTCAACATAATAAAAACTGTTCTATGTATTTACACAAATAAAAGTTAACCTGTTACATCTGACTCGACACCAAGACATTACTCCTGCCGCTCTTTTACCTCGGAACCACCAGTCCTGTTTCTCAACAGAACTAAAACTAATAGCAGCGATCCATCTTATTTGTTGCCTGTTTAAAATGTTTAACTACAAACATTTTTACACATGGATGTTTGTCATTTCTGTTTTGTGTCCATAGTTTAGCTCGAGAGATTCAAAAACTAAAGCCCTCAAGGGCCCCTTTTCGATTGATGGATTCAGTCTCTAAAAACTGTTTCAAACTACCAAAAGGGAAAAAATGCCACCACAAAAAAAGGTTTGTTTGTTTGTTTAATATTTGTGTAAACTTTAAGTCAGATAACACAAAAAAACCACACAGAAACTTACAATATTTACACAATTCTGTAAAGACATATAGTTTATTTAAATGCTGTTAAACGTAACTGTTGCTTATAGATTATATAGGTACTTTAACTTACATTAACATATTTGAAATATAATGAATTGACATTTGTGTATTTTTCATTATTTTGTAGCTGCTCTGAAGGCTTCACTAAAGCCTCTGACCTACTTCAAGCACTTAAGAAGATAGAGCAAAACGACAATGCTGGGGTGCGAATTTCAGGCAAGCACAGAAAAGGAGGGATTTCTGTGCGGCTTTATAAGCGATGCGTGAAGCTTGAGAAAATCTATGGCACCGCTCACAGGACATAATTAAGCCACTCTGCATCGGAAAAGAACTTCATAAGCCTGACATTTTGCAGTATGTTCCCTTCACAGAAGAAGGACTCTTTCTGCAGCTCATATTGTGATGGAAGTCTTTTTCTCTCTTTTCCTTGTGCAGGACCGTAAGTTTAACAAACTAGAAAACAAAATAAAGATGGTCATTTGTAGAGATCGTTAAAAAAGTTTGTTTGAATTTTTCTCAAAGCAATATGCTATCATATGATTAGAATGGTGAGTAATGTACACAATTTGTTGTCTTAAAAGCATAATTAAGCCCCCAGTAAAATAATTTTACATTACCTAAACAAAGTACTACACTGAAATGATCGAAATGTGAACTTTTTTGGTTGATATCTTTGTGATATTTTTGCTACACATCATTGTAAGTTTGTAACAAATGGTACCATGGAAAGTAGGGGTGGGAACCTCACGATACGATACGATACACGATACAAAGCTCACGATGGCGATAATATCATGATATGACGATTATCGATAAATTGGTCAGAAATATACAATATGCGGATTTATGGCATAAATAAAAGAAAAAATACACTTTATTTCATGATAAATGGAATGGAGATGCGTAATGTAGCCACATATAGTATTGAAGAAGGTGACATGTCTGGGATCGCGTCTTTCATTCAGACAGAAGACTTGTTTTATTGTCGATGGTAGAGACAGGACGATCAAAGCACACGATCACAGATACAATAGAATGCAAGTGTATTATACAGAGCGGAGGCATGGAGACCTCCAATCAGCAGCTTCCACGGTGCCATGTAGCTTGGCCTTCAGATAGACAAAACAAGGGAAAAGTACTGGCTTCTGCACATTGATAGAATGATGAGTTTAACTTTAACAAAAGTTGCTTCAAAGTGTTATGAAATCTCACATTCCCCCCTCTGGTCATACATTCACGTGTGACCATCAGGATCGATAAACAGCAACATAACATCATAACTCAATACTTCAAAAACTCAGAAAACTCATAAAACATGTTCAGATCTTTCATAAAACTTGTCAACAATCTTCAGTAAAATACCAAACTTCATCAGTCGATGGTTCTCAGATATTGCTTTGAAAACAGTCTCTCCCACTTCTCCATGTTGATTTCTTCAGGCTGCATTTGTGTCGAGCCATGAATTCTTCTGTGACGTGTCTTTCAATCACACGTTTCAGCTTCAGTGTCCAGATTCAGCAATTCAATTCAGTCCAAATTATGTCCAAATTCAGAAATCCAGATTGTTCCAAATTATGTCCAAATTGTGTAATCCAATTGTTCCAAATGGTGTCCATGCAAAAGAGGACAATGGTGTTGTCCATGTCTCAGCAGCTCACAGCCTGAGTAGAATCAGGGGCTGTGCAGATTGTCCAAGTGCTGATCCAGATGCATGGTTTCTCTTGAGGTTTCTCAGTTTTGGCTTAAAAAAAAAACACTTTTTGTGTAAAAAAAAAAAGTCTTCTGTTCTCTAGATGTTACAGACAAGGCCCGCATCCTTCCACCACCTGAAGAAGATGACATAGTCTGGGATCGCGTCTTTCATTCAGACAGAAGACTTGTTTTATTGTCGATGGTAGACAGCACGATCAAAGCACACAATCACAGATACAAGAGAATGCAAGTGTATTATACAGAGCGGAGGCATGGAGACCTCCAATCAGCAGCTTCCACGGTGCCATGTAGCTTGGCCTTCAGATAGACAAAACAAGGGAAAAGTACTGGCTTCTGCACATTGATAGAATGATGAGTTTAACTTTAACAAAAGTTGCTTCAAAGTGTTATGAAATCTCACAGTATTGATACTACTTTGCTTTTACGCATGTCAATGCACTTCATGAAATATGTCTCTGTTTATTTTCAATAGTAAACTTTCTATTTTCATGGACTTACATAAAGTCAATTGGTAGGCTACACATTTCTAAGTGAAGTTCCTATTCAGTTAGGGTATATTGTGTAGCCAGCCTGATTCCACGACCGTTGTCGCTTATTGTTGCGGTTAAAACTTGGCCTGGCAAAGCTGAAGCCTGGAGCTTCATGAATATTTGACAGCTTTGTGGTGTGCGCGGTGCATGCTGGGAGAGGCTTGTTCGCCTTGGAAACAACATGGCGTCGCGCTGACAGCTGGAAGACTTCATTCTCTCTCCCCGTCCGCGACAGAGCAACGGGGTCGTCAGCACAATCCTCCGCGTTTTGGATTTTGTTGTGAAATTAGCTTATTCCGAGGGAAGCTTTTTTACTGTAACCACTGTCGCGTAATTGGAGAATCAAATTAGCGGCATTAATACAAGTGTCACGCCCACCCTACCCAGTAACGCTATAGCGATCTTGTGGGGTGAGTTAGCACAGACTGGCTGCAGCTAACAGGCTAACAGGCTAACAATCCACCGCTAGCAACATAAAGCACGAGTTATGTGAAAACCACCAATCGCCAGTCCGTGTTATTTTGCATTTTTGGCCGCATTTCAGCTTGTAATGTGCAAATGTATTGTTGTCATACGGGACTGCAGTAAACATGTTTGTGTAGCACAGTAGGTAATTGGCTAGCTAGGGCGTTTCTATCATCCTGGCACTGAATTTTTAATGTGCGACCCCTTTGGCATCGCTGTCGGAGGAGAGAGTGATGAGCTCCGGGGTTGTGGACTCGTCCCAGTGGCTGTCTGTGAAGGAGGAGACGATTTTCCTCCACGATGGACTCATTCGGGTCACAGATCTGGCTGAGCTTCCCAGTGAGATTGGAGTGTCAGAGCATGGGGACATAGAGCAAGAGGTGAGACAATATATAAGCTTGTAATCATGATAACTTCACACTGGCAGCCTGAACTCCTGCGTATTCGTATATGAATTGAAATCGTAAGAGATGGGTTGTTGTTTTTCCACAGAAGCAGCTTTCATGCACATTTCCTGTTTGGTCATATCAAAATAAATCGCTCTCAGAGGTCATTTGAGTTCTTGATTGAAATTAATGTCTTCATTTGTAAAGTGAATATGATCGGTTATACTAATTTTCCTAGTTTTACAAATGTGCCAATGATTTTAAATAGTTTTTTTGGTGGCATCAGATGTGTTACATGGCAATCACAATAACAAAAGTAAACTTAAAGCAAAGTAATTTACACATTTATTATGAGAGGTTATTCAAAATATCAGGTTTTTATTCTTTAAATAAGACCAACACAGTTTAGGGCACTATTATTATGTTTTTAGAATGATCAATTTTATTTTCATTTTTGCTGCTACTGGACACCTGAATTTCTCCTACGGGGGATCAATAAAGTATCTATCTATTGAAAACAAAAAGCAAATGGAGCTTCAAGATCAGACACATCTCTGCTTCAAAGAAAGATATCTTAAGGTTTTATCCTACTTTGAAATGCATGTTGATGTTTATACATGGCTCTGTTGCTGTAAAATTATTGTAACATTATTTTCCCCTGTCACAAACTGCCACTTGACTGGCAAAATACTATCTTTGTTTATTTGCATCATCAGTAATGTCATGTACGATTGACTTGGTAACGAACTAGGCCCTGTCAAGTTTCAATCCTGTCCAAACTCCAATTATGAAAAGAGTTATAGTTCTATCAGGAATAATCATCAGTTCAGACTTTGTATTGCCATTGCCAACTTATACTATCTGAAGGTGCCTTATACAACTGTTTAATGATCTGATACATGCCTTGGAAATGTTATATTGTTATGGAATGTTCCTGATTATAGAAAGTGTTCTAAATGATTCAATTGCAGATGGGTTTACTGCCCAAAACCCTAAATTCTAAAATTGGATCAACTCACCCCTGATATGACTTGTAATTTAGCCAAGTGAACGCACTTATTCTGCCATACTTTGGAAAATTAAATGAAAAACAACAACATTTAGATGTTGTGTGTTACTAAAATAGGAATCTTTTAACAATTAGGCTTTTGTTAAAAACTGTCTGCAAATGACTTTCAGCACTTGTTAAAAGATAATTTTGCAATAATTTAAGATGCTGTAAATATTTAACACTAACCCTGTAGATTAGACAATCAACAATACATTAGAATGAGTCCATCATTATCATTACTATAGTTATATGTGTGACAATTACACACGTTAATACAGTTAAGAATATTACAGGCTAACAATCGCCTGTAATTTTAAAGCTTGCATCTTTAAACTTACTGGTTGAACCTAATTTAACCTTTGAGAATTAAAATTCATTAACAGTGTGATTGGTGGTTGAAAAAAACCCATTGTATTCTTGATCATTAACACTTACTTACACAAACTATTTTACCAAATTATTAAACCCTAGTTTAGTGACTGCTTTTTGAAAAATGATTAAGTAGGGAAAACTAGGTCTATGTCTGATTCTCTGTTTAGGAGTTTCTTCAGAGCCAGACTATTTTGAACCATTTTAACACTGCAATTGGGTAACGAGTGTTGCTGTATTATTAGTATTTCTTATTAGTAAATCTAATCAATACAAATAGTCACTGCTAAATGGTCTAATGGATTTCCTTCCAGTCCATGGTTCGCAAACCAGAGAGGATGATCAATATTCTTAATGCTGACTAAGTGCGTTGTTTTTGCTCATAGGATGTTCCAAATCTGCTCGCTTATCCCAGAGCATTTTGTATAAAAGGACCTTGTAGATCAGCGGGCCTCCACCGTTTTTAGTGCGAAGGACTAGTTTATTGTCTGCCAATATTTTCATGGACCGACGTGTTCCGGTGGAGGAACTCAATGCTCTTCAATTACAAATTTGTATAACTAGTGGGATACATTTGACATCTGACAAAGATGTAACAAGAGAATCCGGTTATTTTTCAAAATAAAACCTAATTCAGACTTGGATCATAAAACAATAAAAAACAGACATAATGTAAGTTATTTATTCTTTCCTTGTGGCTCGGTAACGAATGACCCACGGCAGCAGACCGGCTGTTGGGGACCTTTTGTTAATTGTATATAAACTGTTGCATAATTAAAATGTTGTATACTAATGATTTTGAAAATAGGCCCTCTGAAGAAGGTGCACGGGGAAAAGCCCCAAGGACAAAGGAATATGCACTCAGGAATCATAGAGATGACCAGCTTTCAAAACGGGACAAATTATTAACTCCAGGAATAAACAAATGCTCTCTCCCACTCTGGACGAGGGCAAAAGTCCAACACAATCAGGCGCCCAGTGGTGGGGGGCATTGTTTGCTCAGGTGGAGAGGGAAGACCAAGACCGGGTCCAGACCAGGGGCCAGACCAGTCCCAGACTGTGACGTCATCGGACCCTTTGATAGAAACTGCTGGGAGGAGATTGGCAGTCAGTCAGCCGAGGGCCAGGAGAGAGGGACATATATAGTTTTAGGAGCACTTTTTGTTGAACATTCTGTATTTGATTGTAAAGATAATTAAATGCAGATGTTAAACGTGAAGATCTCTTGTCTCGCTCTTGCATCGATTTTGGATACGTCAGTCAAAGGGAATTATTGACTTCATTTATATATGTGTTCAATAACACATTTAATAATGTATAATTGGTTTCTAGTATCTATAAGTTGTGTATTTCTCTTTATAGATTTTAACATTTGAGACCAAGAACCCTGTAGAGTTGGCAGAGCGTCTTCGAGCTGTTTGTGGAAACCAGAGTAATGCATATGCCCGTCTTTTGGAATACCGCCTCAATGCTCTGCGTGGCCTGTGGGGGGCACAGAGGCAGCTGGCCCTGGAGGAGCAGCAGGAGCGTGAGGGCACTGGAGGTGCTGATGAGGAGACCTTGGCCTTGTTAAAGAGGCAAGGTCTGCTCCAGCAGCCTGAGCAAGCACCCTTCACCTCCCGCGTGGGCCTGCTCCTCGTCTTCCCGCTTCTGCAGTCTCAGACACGTAGTGACCCTGCTCTGTGTGGTGTCACAGCAGAGGTGCTGCTGGCGTGTTTGCGGGACTGCCAGCCTCTCACTCTCAGTAAAGAGCCCACTGACTGTCTCAATGGCCTGGAGGGACTGCTCTGCTCCTGGCTTGAAGATGGCTTTCAAGAGAAGGAGCAGCTGCAGCCACAGACTTTTCACTCATCAAGGCAGCGGGAGAATGCTGCGGCCGCCCTGGTGGCACTGGCGTGTGCTAGGTAATATTCTCCCTCTGCAAAATATTCAGACATTTTTTATTAGAGATTGAAACAGGCACAATGTACATTCATAAAATTCTTGTAAATACATGATTCAGGGTCCACGATATGTTCGCATGATTCAGATATGCTGATGTTGATATCCCTCAAAATAGTTTTAATAGTTAACAAAAAATGTTGAATGTACTTGTGTAGGACATTTTATATTTTCAAACATTTCATATAAATGTAACCCCCTCAGTGCATACTATCTACACTCTATAGATAATTTTACCAAAACACTAGATTCTACAGTGCTTTGGTAAATGGTTTTGTCTGAGGCATGGGCGATGCTGTTTACTACAGTCCGTCCCAGTCTTGTTCTCTGGGTGTGTCTATGCGTGTGCGTGTCTGTGTGTGCGCAGTGACCCCTGCCTCTCACTTTCATTCAGCGTGTACTCTCTGACTTCTGCATCCGACATTGGGTCTTGACTTGTCAAAACCAGAACTCTCTTCACATTGTTCCACCTCTGTTCAAGCTAAGGGGTCTTTTGTACTGAGAAAAACAATGTATCTCTTTATGAAGCATGTTAATAGAGTACTATTGAGAGCCTTGGCTTTGTTCAGTTAGTTGTCAAAAATGGCTGGCATGTTTTTTTGTTTGTTTAAAAAAAAAATCTACAATATAATTTAGATTTCCTGCAATGGTTTTCCTCTAATGCAGTGACACTGGAAACTTTATAAAGCGCTCCGTAATGGCGGGGTTTGCATTGTACATGTGCAGTTCCATCTTGTTTCAATAGATGATTTGTCAAATGTCTTTCTCTCTGCCCTGGGGCCTCCCTCATCACAATTTAGTTGTGCTCTGCAGGGAAAAATATCTTGTCTACCTCAGGAAGCCTTACATCATGATCTGAATAATGTCTTGCACTACTTGAGGGCAGGAAGCTCTGCATCTGAGTTACACTTGTTGTGCATAATGACTATTGTGGATGGATCTATTCTACATTTTTCCAGGGGTTCGCTGAAGACTTTCATTCACACCGTTCATCTGCTGCAGAAACAGACTGATCTTGGGCAGCTCCCTGTGTCTGATGTATTGTACAGGTGAGGCCGTGTCAGCAATGACATTAATTAAGCTTTAATTAATGAATTTGCTTTCTTTTTTGATAGATCTTAACCATTAATATTTCCCAACTAATTTTTTTGTGTGTTTATTAGGCTTTTACTTCTGGAAGGAGGCCCAGGCTCCCCATCCTGCCTGTTGGGAGGCAAACATTGTGTTTCATGGGGGTTTGAGGACATGTTGCCCACCCCAGATAACTCTGCTGGTGGTGCAGAGAGTAAAGGTAAAATAAGGCTCCATTTAAAATGTTTACCCTAGTGTTGTATGTATTCAGCACTTTGATAATCTCACTGTTTAAGACCACCCTCTATTTTCTTGCCCATGACTCATCTAAGCACATTGAGCTGATGTTTTTGTATGAAATGTGCTATATAAATAAAATGTGTTTAGCATAGAAGTCTTTATGTATTTGTAAAAGTGCAGACTGTTGTAACCTGGTTTTGCTTTGTCCTTATGTCTTTCAGACACTGACCTGGGCCGCTGTCTAGCCACTGATGGCCTATATCTGTACACCACCAACTCCTCAGGGAGAGGACTCAGCAAGCTTGGCTCTGGTTTGCATGGGACATTGAGGTAAAATTACTCTCCTTTCTGTTTACCTCACTTGTGTGCAAAGAATATGATGCAAACTGAATATACTCACCATTTGATATGCCCAGCAAAGTATAGTTTAATTTAAACTTGAGTCACTGCATATTTCTATTATAGCTCTAACACTGTGTAAAAAACAAGCATAGATTTTTCTGTACACTTCGTATTGCAATACTTTGAATGTTATACACGACAGTGAAAAATGTATTCTAGAGTCTGCATTACATTGCAGTACACTACATTCTTGTCTGCAATTCCACTTAGCTAGCTAAACAGATTTTATTATTTAATGTGTCATAAGGTGTTTTATAATTCATAATATTTGCATCACTTAACAAGAAAGTTATTCCTTTATATGCTTTATATTAGTGTATATTTAGATAGTTTACAATTGCCTAAATGGTCTGATATGATTTGAAAAGTCTAATAAGCTTTTATTTTAAAACCCTTTTGATAATGATTGTAGCGTTTGAGCTACTGGGACAGCCTCTCACCAGGACAGGAAATAAACACCAGACCAGAAGTTGCAGTCTTGCACCAAAGAGACCTCATTTATTTGGGCAACATCCCCAAGGAATCTTCCCCTTTTTATACAGTGGCCCAAACCAAGACCTCCACCCACTAGGGGTGCAACGGTTTGAAAAAATCACGGTTCGGTTCATACCTCGGTTCAGAGGCCACGGTTCGGTTCATTTTTCGGTTCATTTTTCTAAAAAAAAGTTTTGTCTTTTTAATAAACACAGCTCATGTGGACTCGGCACCTGCTCTGACTGCCCCCCCTGACCTAGAAATGAATTAAGGGGAAGGAAATGGATGGATGGATGGAAGGCATATTCCATCCATCCAATTATGTCTATTTAACATAATTAATGAAAAACAACACAAAGTGCAACATAAGAAGGCACTTTATGAGGATATTTACCCTCATATATTACACCACCTTCCTGATTCTCCCAAGGAGGGGGTCCATTCTGGGCCCAGCCTCATTCACTGCATTTATTTAATTTTTGGCATTATCAGTTGTGACTGGGATATTAGTACTGGGCCTTTGTCTTCCATTCCTCCGCTGCTTGTGTCAGTACCTGTGATGTGTGTCAGTACCTGCGCTGTGTGACTGTCGTAGAGGGGGCGTGTCTGCAGCGCCAGACTTTTCATCTCCCAGTCTGCGGTGATGAAGTGAGCGGTTCTGCTCATGGATCTATTATAGGTTCCGCGGGACGTCCAAGCGTCAGTCGTGAGCGCAGCTGAGGATGCGCGGGAGAGTTGACTTTAGCCCGGTCTGACTGTGCGTAAAGGAGCTGCTTAAATGCCGCGGCAATAGGTGGTCGTTGAGACGCTTTTTTCTCTCATGTCTTTCTTGTGCCACAGTGCTTACACATCGTGACAGTTTTGTCGAATATTAATCATCAGTGTAGTTACAGTGAAGCCAAAATGCTCTCATACTGGGGATTTAAATGACGCAGGGCTTTCAAGCATCTCCGTTCCTCCGCTCGCAATGACCACGCTGTGTGTGGACTAAACAACATGCACACAACTTTTTTTTCATAAATCAAACCGCGGATCACGTCTGTACCGAACCGAAGACGTTGAACTGAACGGATCACGGATCAGTGATGAACCGTTGCACCTCTACCACCCACCCAGGGACACAACTATGTAGGCCTACACTATTTACTTAATATTTACACAACTATTTACATTTTTAATTTATGTAATAATAATAATTTATAATTATATAAAATTAGTGGTGGTGTTATTTAACGGGAGTGGTATGTGAATAATGTTTATATTATGCCCAGTCCAAATGAAACTCCCCTGTCTTTTGGAGGATAATGGTGGAGCCCAGCTAATTGCTCAGTTGGGTGCACCTGGCATGCACTGGGATGGGCGCGCCTCCAGCCCAGCACCTCCACCAATCACCTTCCAAGAGAAGAAAAGGGACAAGTTAGGGACAGGGGAAAATAAACAAAGCTAAATATTTCAAAATAAAACAGGAAGGATACACCTGTGGGTGAAGAGTGGGGACTACTCCTTCACAATGATGATCAATATGGACCAGTTTCATTTAAAAAAGGTAGTAGTAGTAGTAGTAAGTAATCTTTATTTATATACCGCCTTTTCACTGCACATCGGAGCCTCAAAGCGGTTTACAATTGTTATTTTTGGGAGTGGGGGTGCCAGTACAGGAGGCACATGCCAGACCTACAGTATTGTACATATTTGTAGTTGTAGGGGAAACCGGAGCACCCGGAGGAAACCTACGCAGACACGGGGAGAACATGCAAACTCATCTCAGAAAGGCCCTGGTCCAACCGGGATTCGAACCCAGGACCTTCTTGCTGAGAGGCGAGAGTGCTATCCACTCAGCCACCGTGCCGCCCAGGAAACTATCTAAATTGACGTATTTCCAACCTTTCTCTTTTGTGTGCAGGGGTTTTGTGTATTGTCGAAATGAAGAACTTGAGCCAGGTTGGGTGGTGTTCTGCAATGGTCGCCTCCTTCACAGACCTCTTTCCTTTGATGCCAAGCCTCATCAGCTTTGCCAAGTTGTTGATCCCTATACACTACAGGTTCTAGTTATATGACTATATATATATTTAATACATGACAGGCATTTACTGAAATATGTAAAAGCAATCTTGCTATACCATCTCTAGGTGTGCCAGATTGTGTCCATGCCATCCCATCACTTTCCTGTCGGCAGCAGTTTGACCACTTTGCATCTTTGTTCTGATGGGACCTTCCTGTACTGGATCTGGACACCTGCTAGTATCAATGAAAAAACTCAAAAAGGACACTCTGTTTTTATGGACGTCTTTCACCTCTCTGTAAGTACTCTATATTTGCCTTTGTGCTGTCCCTAAAATACCATTTAACACTTGCTACATATTTTGTAGACACAGACCGGTCTTTGTGTTGCCGATGTCCTGCAAGAGAGGGTAATTCTTACTCGCAAAGAAGGCGAGTCTTCAAAGTGCTTGAATGAACTACTACTTAATCGAATGTCACGCTTTCGGGCGTCCCACTCTGCCACTTTGGCTGCCCTCACGGGCTCTGCCATCACCAACACAGTTAAAGAAGAACAATCTGGTAAGCTATAAAGAAAATAAATGCATTCTTGGATGCAAATATAAGCTATTTTAATTTTCAATATTTTAAGCTGTGAACACCAGCTGTGGACTCCCTCTTAAGACCCTGAGAAGGACTCCCATATATGTGTGTGGAACATATCTTGTGATGTTGGTTTCGCCTCCTGGTGTGTCTGGAAGCTCAGCAACACGTTCACTGTTTGGAGGCACCAGCAGTTTATCCTCTCTCAAAAGTATGGACTGAATACGTGTACCGCTTAAACACAATTATGTACTGTACATAGATGTATATTATATTTCTGTTTCTCTCGTACGTTAATCAACATAATTTTTTCAGTACTAGCCTCAAGCCTTGTCTTCAACTTGGCTGATGGTCAGTTCAGCAGCCGTGCTGACTTGATTGATGCTCCTGGTAGTTCTCTAGGAAGAGGAGCCCAAGTAACTGGGCTTGGTGAGTTATGTTGTTTACATAACATCTGAATTCAAGTTTATCTGATTTTCTATTACATTTCTTGGTTTCAGGAGCTTGCTATGATGCATTGAACAATTTGATTTGGACCTGCTCCAGCGATTACATAGATCAGTGGTACAACCCTGGAAACCAAGCCTTTCATCATGTATGCAACAGGCTTGGGGTCAGTCACATCATCAAAGAACCCAAAGGTAGAGCTGTCTGTGAACCTCAATTAACATTTTGTTTGTGTGTAAGTAAGACTAGTCACAAGAGTTGTATGATTTAATAGATGAAATGGTGACAACTGGTGAAGTTATCAACCAGCTACTTCATCACATTGGTTCAATGTGCATACACCAGCTAAACTTGCTTGCAGCCAGTAGCAACAATTTGCCCTTAGGTGCATTGCTGGGCAAACAGCATCCTATTGAGGCCCGTCACTTCAGCAGCATCTGTGACATCATGGAAAGGGCAATGGTGAATGGAGACACATGCGTTATTCGCTGCATCTTAGTTGTTTTTCAGGTTTGCTCTTTTAATGCTTTCTTTCGCTTACTTTCTATCATTGTTTTTTGCTAATCGTTGTTGTGTTTTATCCATAGGTGGTCTTTAGATTTTACAACCCTCAGTCTGAGCAGAATCGAGACAGTGTACGTCGGTCAAGCCTACTTTTGTGGCAGCTTCTTATGGCACCTGTGGATCAGATTGGGGCCGATATTCAGAAAGAGGTGTGTCTTGCTATCAGGTAAGAAATGTCTTTGTCAATGATTGATTAATGAGTGAGTGGAAACTATTGTAACCATTACTTTTTAATCTCAGCTCTGGCGTGAATATATTGTATCAGGGGGAAGCAGAACTGAACAAACTTCTTAAACTGGTTCTCACTGAAGGTCAGCATTTGATACATAGGATATAATGTATATGTTTGAAGTGAACTAACAACATGCTTTTATGTATTAAAAGGAGAAAGAAACTGTGGCCTTTCCCAGCTTCGTGATGTCATACTTACCAATTTAGCGGATCAGCTGCAGAAGAATAGATTTGGCAGTGAAGAAGATGAGCATTACAGGTGCCCTACAGTTAATCTATATAATCCATCAATTATAATCCCTCTGCAAAATGTATTAAGCGACATGATTGACATTATATTTTGCACAGACTAAGTGATGAGCTGCTACATTGTATCCTCAAGACAGTCGTTCGTGAATCTTGTCTTCTCATAACCAAATGTCAAACTGTTGCCAGAGAAGACTTCCAGAAGCTGCTCTCTACTGTTCCTGTATGATTTCCATTTGTGTTTTTACATTTAGTTAAATGTAATTCTATATTCATTAGGAAAAACCTTTTTTTACATGTATATAGGTGGTTTCCCCTTGTCTTCGCTACCTCATGGCAGTTCAAAACCACCTCCTCAGTAACACAATTCTCATCCGTCCTGATGATAATGATGACAGTGACAGCTCCCTCCAAGGGGAAACAATGAAGGTACAGGTAAACATCCCCTTTAAATCCCCTATTCATCCGTCCTTGTGGTGCTCGGATATTATCCAATAGTGGGAATTTTTGCATGGACATTTGCTCTATCTAAATGATTTACTAAAAATCTGCAGACTGTTACGTAAGTGGGCTATTTTATGCTTAATCTTCAGGAGCTGCAAACTTGTATTCTGTCTCTGGCTACAAAAATCCTTATGAGTTGTGATCAAGTGTTGGAAACGCTACAGCAGGTTACTACAGCTCTAATCAACAGTGAAATCACAGACCGAGAAACCAGGTGATCTTGTACTTAATTGCATGCATTAAATCATTTCTAAAATAAATACAATTTATTGTTAAAAATGTCTTATTTGTATGTTTTTGGCTTTTACTTTTTTAGGTTAAAAGGCCTAGAACAGATCACAAAGGCGACCATGCTGGGGCACCTTCTCCCTGTTTTACTGACCTCTTTGATGCATCCTAACCTACAAACCCTCACTCTTGCCGATGCCCTAATGCCTCAGTTAGTTCAGCTTGTTCTCTATACCAGCCAGGTTGGTATCTCTGCCATTGGTATTAATAAAACATTTAAAGCCCTAATATCCTTGAATTTATCTTTTGACAGACCGCTCTTTTACTGAAAACTCAGGCACCATTGTTCTCTGAGGAAACATCACCTACAGTTTGTTGTCCAGGGGCCAAAGCAAGTGTAGCTGACGACAAGTATGTCATACATTAACCTAAAAATAAATAATATATGTGTGATATGTTGGCTTAATTTATGTAGCCTCCACAACAGCAAATACTAATTTCCTGGGGTTCACTACCAATAAAGGACTCCATTACTTTCAAACTGTTTCTCTTCTTAATAGGATTCTTGATGAACGTGAGGAGCCTGGATTCCTAACTGGGTTAAAGATTCCTGCCCCGTGGGCTGCTGGGAAGACCGTTGAAACAGTACATCCAGTGAGAGACAATTATAAGTTTAAAGAGACCGTGCACATCCCAGGAGCACGTTGTTTGTACTTACGATTTGACTCTCGCTGCTCCTCACAATATGACTATGACAAGGTAATAAATGTCTGTTTCACTTGCCACAATAGCAATTTTATTTACTGTAAGTTATTAGTAACATGCAGTCTTCTCCATTGTTTCAGCTGGTAATTTATGCAGGGCCCAACACTAACAGCCGTAAAGTTGCTGAGTATGGTGGAAACACTCTGGGTTATGGCAGTCGAAGTGTACTGGGCACAGGCTGGCCAAAAGATCTTGTCAAGGTAAAGATAGAGTAGCTTTTAAGTCTTTATTACACATTGAGCCAGTATTACAATAATATTTTTGTGTATTGCAGGTTGAAGGGGACACTGTAACATTTTCCTTTGAAATGAGGAGTGGACGTGAGCACAACACTCCAGATAAAGCCATGTGGGGATTCTCCTGCACAGTCAGAGCTCAGGTCTCATTTTAATGTTTTTAATTCAACTTGTCATTTAAAGGCCTTACTTATCTTTTTTGTTTTGCCTTGAAAATATTTATTTTTTAGGAGTCCTCAGAGGATGTTTCTGGTGGCCTTCCATTTTTAGCAGATCTGGCACTGGGATTGTCCGTGCTTGCTTGCTCAATGCTACGGATTTTATATAATGGACCTGAAGTAACACGAGAGGAAGAGACCTGTCATGATTTGCTTTGCTCTAAGCTACTGCAAAGGTAATATTGCACAAGAAAATAAAGCAAACATAATTGGGTTTGATTTATAATCCAAATAATGTGATACCCTTCTTTCAGGTGTCAATGGCAAGTTGAGGCAAATGGTGCAATATCTCCAGCCTTGACCCCCAGCCCTTCACCTCTGCCTCCCACCATTGAAGAGGATCAGGAGTTTACTTACCCGTCAGATGTGCTCATTCCTCCTCCAGGTCTCATGCCAGGAACTTACTTTGATTTGCCTCGAATTCGCTTGCCCCCAGGCATCATGTCGAGGCTCAGAGAAGTGTCAGGAAGAGCTCGCCCACAGTTCCGGCCTAGTATTAAGTAAGTGGTTAAATAAATGGAATTGGATCTGCTTGCTATAAACACAATTTCTCACAATCAATTCTCCAGGGAGGTGATCCGACCGGATGTTATGGAGGAGGTTATTGTATCATGTGTTATAAAACATCTGAGCCTGGTGGATGCTCTTCAGTCACTAGTGAACTACCAATACCGTGAAGATCATGCTGAAGAATATGACCTTGTGTGTAAGATCATGGCTGAAACCTTTAAGAAGATCAATGCAATGGAAAGGCAGTTGCAGGTTGGAAATAACTACACATAATGTTATACTTAATTTATACTCTGGCTTTGAAAAAAATCAAGAAAATGACACAAACACAGTAAAGTGGGCTTATAAAAATGTGATCACTAGTTTAATGCACTTTTTCCAGAGTGTTGCAGAATTGGAACAAAAGTGGCAGAATGAGGTAGAGGAGGCTCAGCAGAGCAAGCTGGAAAACAACACACCATTCTTCCATGACTACCATTTTTTTGAGGTATTGTTGCTGCTTTTGTGTGTTAATTAATTTTATCTTGTGCTATTTAAGTAATGAATATTCACCCTTTTTCTCCAGAACAAAATCAAGGAACTTGAGCTTCTGTGTTCGTTGAAAGAAATCCCTCTTGACTTTAGTGACTTAGAAAATGTTGTCCTTGCACTAAGGCATGTTTTATGCAAGAAATATAAATAATGATTAACCCTTACAGAACCGCTTTTCCTTTATTACATCTCTTATGTCTTTTGGCAGAGAGAAGTTTTTTCAAGAAGTCAACTGCATACACATTAAAAATAGCATCCCTCTGGCTAAAACAAAAGCACTTCTCAAAAGCGTGATGAATCGCACTGAACTTCTACTTCATGTTACCATTGCGCCACATTGTCGAAGTGTAACAACCACACCTGCTGGTACTCCAGGGCCAGGTATTACATTTATTTGAAATTAGGTTGGTGTCACAATTGAATAGATGTTTAATTATTTTTATTATTTTTATTAGCTTCCAAATCTGTGTCAGATGCCAAAACAGTCATTCCTGTGGTAAAACAACCAGTCTTCCTGCGCAGTATGTCTGCGCCCTCTGATCTAGAGATGATTGCTAATCAGGATCTAGAGTTTACCCATCCTCCACATAGGTATACAATTAACCCAACATTATTTGTAAGTAAAATGAGTGGTTTAAAAGAAGTGCATTTATATTATTAGACGAAGACATCATCCGACAAGCCACCGCAGCAGCTCCTTTACCCTTCTCCAATCGCTTGCTGTTGAAGACAGCAGGGACAAACCAACCTACAGTGTGTTGCTGGGACAACTTTTTGCTTTTATTGGGACTACTCCAGATCAAGCTGTAAGTTTAATTTAGTGTTAAGCCATTCTCGTTGACAGTGCTTGTCACTCTCTTTTCATAGGTCTCTAGCAGTATTTTCCTGTCTGCTGCCCAGACGCGTTGGAAACGGGGTAGCACCCGCAAGCAGGCTCTTGTTCATATGAGAGAGCTGCTGACGGCTGCTGTCAGAGTTGGAGGAGTTACCCACCTCGTGGGGCCAGTCACAATGGTTCTGCAAGGGGGTCCACGGTAATACAAACAACGTGTTTAAAAGGATGCCATGACAACTGTCTGCATAGGGTTTCTCTGGGTGCTCCGGTTTCCGCTACCACTAAAAACCTGTACAATAGGAATGTGCCACATGTATGGAGACCCATCTTCACTCCACTGTGGGAATGCCCACAACATTTGTAAAGCGGTTTGTTCAGGCTCTTAGTCTGTGAAAAGCGCTATACAAATAAAGACTACTTACTTGTTCAAGATTTTACGGAAGCTTGTTAGGTTCACTTGTGTTTTTTTTTTTCACTGGTATCATGTTATTTCATGATACTTTCATGAAATAACATTATAAATATGTTATTTCATGATACCAATTCATCATGTTATTTCATGATACCAATTTATCATGTTATTTCATGATACCAGTTTATCATGAAATAACATGATACTGTAGATACAGAAGAAGATCATCGGCTGATAAATTGGTATGAAATAACATGATAGTTGTGTATCATGAAATAACATGATAAATTGGTATCATGAAATAACATGATACTTTCATGAAATAACATGATAAATATCATGAAATAACATGATAAATATCATGAAATAACATGATACCAGCGGGAAAAAAACACACTCACAAGTGAACCTAACAAGCTTCCGTAAGATTTAATGTGAACCCCTCCAATTTTTTTACCTCAACCTACAGATCTTTCTTCCGACATTTAGTTTTCTTACTGCTTACACCATTGGTGTGTAGGACAGCAACAAAGTCTCAGGATGTCTGTTATCAGCCTTTATCTGGATCATGATGTTTAGTCTTACACGAACTCAAGACTCATTTGTTCAAACTTTCTTTCCAGTAGACTTTGTAGACTTTGTATCATTGTATCATGATTTAATGAAATGTCTCTTGGTGACATTAAGCTACCGTTTTTTCAATGAAATGTGCAATGGGTAATGTGCAATTTGAGTGAATAAATATGATAATTTTATCAATCTAGGATTGACGAGTTGACCTGTGGAGGAATGGTGGAGCAGGTGCAGGATGCATTTGGAGAGACCATGTCTTCTGTGGTTTCACTGTGTGCTCGCTACCCAATTGCTTGTGCCAATAGTATTGGATTGCTGTGTACCATTCCCTATACAAGGTACCGTAATTGCTTTACTTGTATTGTATGTTTTTTTGAATTTTTTTCTCACTCATGTTAGTTTTGTGCTTTTACCAGGAGTGAAGAGCAGTGCCTAGTTCGCAGCGGTCTTGTCCAACTCATGGACAGACTTTGCAGCCTCAGTGGACAGAGAGAATGCAGCTCTAATGAAAAACAAACCAAAAAGCAGAAAGTAGCTACAATGGCCTGGGCTGCCTTTCAGGTTCTTGCCAATCGTTGCATTGAGTGGGAGAAAGTTGAAGGTATGTCCTGTAACTGAGATCCTTGCAACGTCTGCCTTTACTTTTATAACATTATTTCTCTTTTAATTGAAGGTGGCTCTACAGATGCAGTGCACTCTGGTTTAGCACGACAGGTTTCCAGCTTGCTAACAAATCACCTGGCCAGAGCCACAGAGTGCTGTGGTAATCAAGCAGCTGGTAATGATGCCTTACAAGATGTGCTGAGTCTACTTAATGATCTATCCAGGTGTTGTACAATAATTAATCTTTTTGCTTGATTAATAAATATATGTGCTATCGACATTTGAATGGTTACTTTTTTCTTGCCTAGGAGTCACATTGGAAAAGCCATTCTGAGCCAGCCAGCATGTGTGTCAAAGCTGTTGTCTTTGCTGCTTGACCAGAGACCTTCTCCCAAGCTAGTTCTTATTATCCTACAACTATGCAGAGCTGCACTGCCACTCATGAGTGTGGAAGACTGTGGAAATGTGGCCTTGCCATCATGGAGCTACTCTATTAACACTCTAGATGCAGAGCAACAAGATGCCAATGACCCAGCTTCACGGATTGCGGCCTTGCTATTGGCTAAACTTGCAGATTATGTTGTGCCAGGTTTGTTTGTTTCTGTATCTTGTTTGTCAACCTTTTTGACTTTGTTACTGACGTTGTTTTTTTCTCCCAAAAATGTAACTGTTTTTAGGCTGTCAGACACTGCTTTCACCCAGTTCTTCAGAGCCTGACACAAGTCTAACTCATCCCAGTTCAAAAGGCGCTTTGAAGTCTGAAGATGCTGGAGAGGAGGGTGAAGCTGTTGATGGCAAACTATCTGTTTTTATTCACAAACGGGAGGACCAATCATCTCATGAAGTCTTGCAGCCGCTTCTAAGGTAAGAATACTCCACAGATTACAAGCTTAAAAAGTTTTTGTGAAATCATACGGTTCCCTCAAAAATACTTTTTTTTTTTTTTTTTTTTTACAGCAGTTCAGAGGGTCGTCCTTTTAGGCTCGGCACAGGTGCAAATATGGAAAAAGTAGTAAAAATGGACAGAGACATGACAAAGGTATGAAGATGACCTTCCAACATTTGTTTATTAAGATGAACTGATTTGTTTTCAGGTTTTGATTGTCCTGGTGTCATTTGTCCACTTAGAGTGGCTGCTGTGAGGTAATCACTGAAGAAGCATCTGCTGCCCTGAGGAAAGCCAACAAATGGGCCCAGTCTGGTCTCATTGTGAGTGTAGGGCCACCTGTGGAAACTATGGCCCAGGAAACTGCTGGAGGCACCACAACTGGGGACAAAAAGAAAACTGCACAAACAGCTGTGTGTAGGGACCGAAATGCAGATCTAGCGAGGTATACTCATTTATAATGGCACTATATCATTGCACACTTAACATGTTCCTCTAATCTTTCGAAGGTCGGACCCTGTGAGACCTTTCATAAGCGGGCATGTTGCCAACAGTATGGCTGCTGAGGTCATTGCACTACTACATAGTCTGCTCACTGCTCCTGAGTCCAACACTGCTCAGATCTGGACAAGCACAGCTGAAAAAGTAGGACTTTTATTTATTTATTTTCTCAAGTAAATACTAAAATTCTTCCCTTTGTGTTTGACTGTGCTCTTTGAAATTATTTGATAGGTGCTTTCTAGGGCACTGATGTTTATTCCCCAGCTTGGAAAATACGCTGAGAGTATTTTAGAAAACGGTAGCAGCAGTGCCAGGAAACTGGCTAAACTTCAAGCTATAGGTAGACAGGCAGTTGCTGCACTCTGTGCCCTGGGTGGCTTCAAAGAAACTATCAAGATTGGCTCTGAAGTTCAGGTAAGTACAGGGTTAATTACAGATCGTTTCAAAGCTCTTGTTGACAATTTAACTACATTGCTATATGTCCTACAGGTGGTTGGAAAAGGTGTGATGGGCAGTGTTGGTATAGTTATGTCCATTAATGAGCAAGAAGGTATTGCAACAGTTAGGTTTCCTTTGTCTGAATACAAAAAAACTTGCAAAGCCCCTGACATCCTGACGGTACCAATATCACGCCTGTGCACTCCTCGATCAGAGGTCAGTCACATGTTTTATTTTAATTCTAGGTTTTAGATATATTTTAGGTAAGGTTTTAATATTTTAAATCCCTCAGGCTCTTCCACTTCACAAGTTATCAATCACAGAAAAGGTGGTCCAAGCAGTGCAATCAATGTTATTGCCACAAGAGGGCAGTCTCTCTATCCACACTTCACTCCCAGCTACAGGGGATGGATCCAGTCCAGTCATGGCCGCAGTGCGCCTACTGGCTGAAATAAGAACTCGGTTTGTGAAACATTGTAGACTGTTGAAAAACGTTTAGTTTAACCAATTTGATTGACGGGCAACATGATCATAATGTTATGTATTTTAGAGCATGTCTTGTCATGGCACAGCTTCTTGAAGACAGCTCTTTCTGTGAAGAGTTTATCCAGCAGTGCCCGGCTGCTGTTGAGGTCCTTAATCTAGTTGCACAGGAGTGTAGTCCTGGTAAGTATTTTATTGGGGGCACTTAAATGTTTCTAATATATTCTAATCTAATATATTTTTTTCCTCTCAGGTGAGAGACTATGTATGGTTGAAGCCCAGTGTGAAAGAGTTAGGATGCTCTATAGAGATTGTGCAAGACCTCCTCCACCTCCATTGCAAACTGACAGACGTCAGGTAGATAAAACCAGTTTTTATCAATGCACTATTATTCATGAATGTTAAGAATATGTTGATCTTGCATCCGCAGCCAAAAGAAATCACCTGGTGCCCATCCAGAGTTTTTCCTCCAGTACGAGCGTGTATGTTTTCCTCCCGTCTGACCTCTGTGACCTTTCTGGCTGATCCGAGTGCTGGTGGAGGGCTGCCCAGAGGGACCTTTATTTATGCTACATCACCTGTTCCTGTTCAGGTTGACAGTTTGTATTCTCAATAGAAAAATACTCTGAGATGTAACCTTTTTACTGAAATAATTCTCTGTGTAAAGGCTCCATCCTTTTACTGGGAAATTGAAATAGTTTCCTACGGAGACTCTGAGGAAGACAGTGGCCCAATTGTGTCCTTTGGTTTTGTCACAGAAGCAGAGAAACGAGATGGTGCATGGACCAATCCAGTTGGCACATGCCTTTTCCACAAGTATGTTTGTGTGTATTAAGCGATTTGCTGTAATTTATACCGTTCTTTGAATTGTATGTATTGTCTCTTAAGCAATGGTCGAGCAGTGCATTATAATGGCTCCAGCCTTCTTCAGTGGAAAAGTGTTAGATTAGATGTGGCATTACTTCCTGGTAAGTAAATTCTGTAAACATAATATGTTGTTGTGTAAATGCTTAGTGGATTTGCTTATTGACAAAATGCCATGTTGCCTGCTCTGTCACAGGGGATGTGGCTGGAATAGGCTGGGAGAGGTCTGAAGGAACTCCTCCTCCCCCTGGTCAAGCACCCAAAGGAAGGGTCTACTTCACTTACTGTGGCCAGCGACTCGGGCCAATTCTTGATGATGTTTCAGGTGGCATGTGGCCCCTGGTGCACATCCAGAAGAAGGTACTGTTATCTTATGGTTACATTTTCTTCAATGGCTGTGTTCGTTTTATTGAGATTTACATACCTCTTTTTTCAGAATGCTAAAATTCGTGCTAATTTTGGAAACCGGCCATTTGCATATGCAGAAGGTCAAGCGCACAGAAATGCTGCAGATTTGTGTGTGGATTTGGCTGAAGAAATAAGTGCTAATTTTGAAGCACTTCCATTTGCAATGGCTTCAGACAGTGATAATGATGCTGGGACTAGTGTTACGTCAGACTCTGGCTCTCATGGGCCACCGTGCCGTATCGCTGCTGTTGCAGTAACTCAGCAGCGTAAGTCTGTAACTTTGATATGCTCTAAAATACCTGGCTAATAGTTTAGTTTTGGAAATCTAATGTTGTTTTTGTGGTTCACAGAGTACAACAGTGACTTGTCCTGTCATTACAAAGTAGAACTGAGTTATGAGAACTTGGTCACCTCCGGACCAGATCCACATCCTCCCCCTATTGCAGATGATGAAAGTGATGATGAGGATGATGATGATGTTCCACGAGTAAGTGTACACACAATCATTCTATCGTGCTGCTTTTTTATTACATTTGTCTCTGTTTTTTATTATTCAGGAAGATCATTATGCCTTGTTGGTTAAAGCTTGGGAGACTAAAGTATTTCCAACAATTCGTAGACGGTTTCGTAATGAAGCTGAAAGAAAATCTGGACTAGACCAGATTAAAGGAGCTCTGCAGCTTGGTAATAAATGAAACATTCTAATATCCCAAGAAGAGTTTTTTTTTTCTCTCCTCAATGTAGAAAGAACTATAATTTGTATTCAGTAAACATTTGTATTGCACGTATTGCTTTTATACTGTTGAGTAAGCCAGCAATTTGAGTGACATCTACCAGAAAACAGACTTTAATGTTTGTTTTTTTCTGCTTCTCTTCCTTAATTGGGACAGGTATGGTTGACATTGCAAGGCAAACTGTTGAATTTCTTTATGAGGAGAACGGGGGTATTCCTCGTGATCTCTATCTCCCTACTATTGAGGACATCAAAGATGAGGCCAACAAGTTTACCATTGATAAAGTTCGCAAAGGTAGGGTCTGCTTTCCCCTATCATTGACATTAGGAGTAATCATTATAAGCATATATTCACATATGCCTCTCAGGCTTGACTGTCGTCATCCGTTGCCCGGACAGCAACAATACGAGCAGTACTATTGGAGGAACAGCATTGCCAAAATTTGCCATTCGGGGAATGCTGAAGACATTTGGGCTTCATGGAGCTGTGCTAGATGTAGATTCTGTAAGATGCTGAATTTCTTCCATCATGTCCTAAAATCTGTCATTTGCTGTATTGATCATTTATTATTATTATATATTATTATTTATAGGTAAATGAGCTGGTACAAGTTGAAACGTACCTCCGCAGCGAGGGTGTGTTGGTCAGATATTGGTATCCAATTGAAATGCTGGAACGCCCACCTGCCGGATCTCGAAGGACAGCCTCCAATGGTTTAGTCTCACTTGACTCTAGCAACATTCAGATTCACAGGTCCCATTACCTTACAAAAAATAAAAAATAAACATGCAAATTTTTTTTTTCTTTATTTGAAACTCCAAATTAAAATAAATAACAAGTTTTCCCTCTTTCAATATTTCCACAGGGAGCTATTGCGATGTGAAAGTGCCCTGGCTCGTCTGTACTGTAGAATGGCCTTGCTCAATATTTTTGCTCCTAAGAACCCACACACGTTCACACGGCTTTTTCACATCCCTGCCATTCGTGACATTACTCTGGAGCATTTGCAACTTCTGTCTAATCAGCTGCTGGCACCACCGTTGCCTGGTTAGTCTATTATTAGCATTAGCATCATTAATTTACTGTATTTCTTAACAATATTTATTTTTGGTACATTTTTCATTATTCAGATGGCACAATAAGTTCAAACTCAATCCTTTTGGCACAGTCGGTGCTTCATAACATCCAGAGCCAGAGCTGCTCTCTTACAGACTTATTTTATCAGGGCAACGCTCAGCCCATTTGTGAGTGGTTGACTGTGGCCATCACTCGTGCCTTACATCAAGGGGAAGAAAGTCTGCTGGAGCTCACGAAGCAAATATGCTGCTTTCTACAGGTAAAATGTTTCTATGTTCTGTTTATTTAATTAAAACAAATAATAATAATGATAACAGTACAAATGAAACCCATACAAACGACTACAAAAAGTGTAGCTAAATCAATACAAATTTTTTTTGGACAGCACAAAATCAGACCGCATAAACAGTTCTCAAATTACTTCACATTTTTTATTTAAAAAATTAGAAAAAAAGAATCAAATGAAAACCGTCAAAAAGATGTATCCATCCATCCATCCATCCATCCATCCATCCATTTTCTTCCGCTTTATCCGTTGCCGGGTCGCGGGGGCAGCAGTCTAAGCAGAGACGCCCAGACTTCCCTATCCACACACACTTCCTCCAGCTCGTCCGGGGGGACCCCAAGGCGTTCCCAGGCCAGCTGAGAGACATAGTCCCTCCAGCGTGTCCTAGGTCTTCCGCGGGGCCTCCTCCCGGTGGGACGTGCCCGGAACACCTCCCCAGGGAGGCGTCCAGGAGGCATCCGGAACAGATGCCCGAGCCACCTCAACTGGTTCCTCTCGACGTGGAGAAGCAGCGGCTCTACTCCGAGCTCCTCCCGTGTGACCGAGCTCCTCACCCTATCTCTAAGGGAGCGCCCAGCCACTCTGCGGAGGAAGCTCATTTCGACCGCTTGTATCCGCGATCTCGTTCTTTCGGTCATTACCCAAAGCTAATGACCATAGGTGAGGGAGGGAACGAAGATTGACCGGTAAATCGAGAGCTTTGCCTTTCGGCTCAGCTCCCTCTTTACCAAAACGGTCCGATACAGCGACCGCATCACTGCGCACGCTGCACCGATCCGCCTGTCAATCTCACGCTCCATTCTTCCCTCACTCCTCTGAGGAGGAGTTATACACAGTACCCTCTTCTGTCCTGCTACAAGTTGTAGAGCTTTTAGGTTGGTTAATTTTTTTTACCCATGTTTCACAAACTGTCAAAAAGATGTAGATTAGCAAATTCCCCGGCCCTCCTTCAGACTTGGTTCAGACCCAGTTCAGTCCTTTTTCAGTCCCGGTTCGTACCTGATTTAGTCCTGGTTTCAGATTTAGATTAGATTCCTTTTATTTGCCATTTGCAGTAAAACCAGATTAGAATACATTTGCAAAAGTCCCCAGTGTGCACAAGACAAGTACATAACTAAAACAAGGTTAAAAGTGTTCAGCATATGTTTTTCTCCGTGAATATCGAAACACTTAATTGTGACTCAACTTGTGAGAAATATGCATCTAGATGATTTCTGGCATGTATTACTCTCATATACCAATAATACTGATTAGAAAATGTATTGATTAAAGCCGCCAACGGTATCTAAAAGTCCTCGCCACATCTCCATAAATTTGCTACAGTCACGCTCACAAACACACACTGATTCAATCCTCCCCTATTGTAATGTTTTAGTGGTAGGGGGAAACTTGAGGATACCTACACAGACACAAGAAGAAAATGCAAACCCCACACTGCTTGGTGGTGGATTCGAACCTAATGCTAACCACTGCGCCACCATACCACTGCCACTCCAACTATATCCATTCTGTCTCATACTTCTCATACTACTTATCTATTAAATATTCTTTTTTCCTTTCCTTCCAGAATGCCCCGGAGCAGTTCACATCCGAAGAGTTTCCTGTGACAGAGTCAAAACTTTGCATGGATGTCAGCTTTCCTGGTGCAGCATTTGTAATTGTCTCTTGTAAGGAAAGCCAACTTGGCTCCCGCAAAGAGTAAGTTTTGAAGCCAATATGAATTTTTGTCTTCTTTTTTTTGTCTAAATGTAAAGAATTTTTGTTGTCTGTAGTTCTGGTCTATACAAGGCTCCCTGGGCACGAGTCATGGTGTATGGCCAGGGTCATAAAGTACGCAGGAATGGTCAGCTGAATATGATGGAGGCAGTGTGTTATCCTTTGGACGCATCACCAGCTAACACAGGCCTCACGCCGCCTCCAATTACAAACCAGTTTCCCTCTGTTATCATCCCCACTGATAAAGTACATGTTAAATTAGGTTCGTATTGCAATGTTTTCATGATTATGGTTTCAAGTGGAATGAGAATGCAAATTGATTTTTTGTTCTTTTTTTCATCCAGGAGTGTCTCCTCCTCCTGGTGCTGTTTTGGTTTTGCATTCACTTCCTCTTGAGTTTCCATTGGCCCTGGCATTTGCAGAACAACTGTTGACATGGAAACTGGTTGATGGTAGTGAGAGGTCTGAGGAGGAGTTATACACAGTACCCTCTTCTGTCCTGCTACAAGTTGTAGAGCTTTTAGGTTGGTTAATTTTTTTTACCCATGTTTCACAAACTGTTTTCACATGAAGACATGATATGATGCTTAGTGTCTGTCTTTTCTCCAGGTGGGTTATTATGGACTACAGATCTTGCCCCTTCTATCAAGGAACTTGTTTTTCACTTGCTAGCTGAACTTTTGAGGAAGATCCACTATTTGGAGCAGCGCAAGAGTCCTGCTGGTCTCTCGAGCTCCATTGCTCTGTTGCTAAATCCCTGTCTTGCTGTTCTGATGACTCTGCAAACAGAACTGCGGAAGCTTTATGATAGAGAGACACAGGGATGGGCATCTGCAGGCACCGGCCCTGGAGCATCTTCCTCTACAGGAATCCCCTTGGCTCTGGGTGCAGAGCAAAGCCGCTTCTCCACCTACTTTCATGCTCTGATGGAGGTTTGTCTGGCAGTGGCAGAGGTGACACTACCACTGAGTGTTGGTGGGGGTTCATCTGTTGGACCCTTGTCCTCCACCAGTGCACCCAACCTCAGTGACTCCTCCTCTTCATCATCATCATCCCCTGGCCAAACCCCTCAGAGTCCGAGCATTTTGTCCAAACGAAAGAAGGTGAAGTTAAAGCGTGAGAGAGCTGCTGCCGCAGTGGCAGCTGCCGTGTGTGGGAAACGGGGAACTGGAGCTGCTCGTCTGTCCGAAAGCGACAGTGCACTATTAAACATGGCGGGCAGCAAACCTGAGGACTTGCTCTGGTTTCATCGTTGCCTCACTCTCTTAATGATTTTAAGACATCTTGCCAACAAAGACCCTCAGGGTCTGAGTGTGACCAGTGATGCAGTAACAGATGCCTGCCAGGCTTTGGTGGGTCCCACTGCCCACAGTCGCCTCTTAGTACTTTCTGGTATTCCCACTCACCTCGAGGAGGCAGTTGTCCGTAATGCCATTCGCAGGGCTTGTAATGGGCATGGAGGACTGTTCAAAGATGAAATCTTTATCCCTCTGCAAGAGGAGGATCTCAGTAAGTCCAAAGTAGCACCTGTTGTTTCAAGCCCAACAGACTGTAAAACAGTTCCTGAAGCAGAGCGCGGTTTTCAGAGCACTGTGGGTCCTGAGAGCCCAGACAGCTCTAGCAGCGTTACTCCTGCCATGAGTGTGAGTGCCTCTGCCTCCACAAGCCAGACATCCATCTACAGCTCGTCTCAGGGTGTGTCTCGCACTGCCAGTGAGCTCTCTGTGGATCAGGACACGCCAGCAACTCCTGCTCTGACTCCGGCTGCTGCGGCTTCACTTCCATATCCCCAACATGGACCACAGGACCCCCAGACTGTGTCCAGTCAAGAGAGTCTTGATTTTTCACTCACGAGTACGGGAAGTCTGGGAAGTCTTGGGAGTTTAGGGGAGCCTGTCGATACTGCAGAAACGCCATCATTGTCAGATGGGGGCTCGATGCAAACGGTTGCCTCAATTGAAAGCAATACAGTCATGTCCAGGCCTATAAAAGGATACGCTGTCATTGAGGTATTTTCTATTCACCAAATAATTGTATTCACAATTTACATTGATAACATAAATAACACCTTCTGATATGGGTTCATTATAGGTACGCTCTCGAGCCAAAGTGGAAAAGATTCGTGCAAGTCTTTTCAACAGTAGTGACCTAATAGGCTTGTCAAGTCTTGAAGGGGAGGAGGAGCTCATGGAGTTGACCAATGAGGAGATTCTAACTGCTTCCAGTGTTAACCAAAGTTTGTTTGATACGCAAGGAAGCTCTGCTCTTGAGGACTATTTTTTAGACAAATCAATTAAAGGTGAGTTGAAGAAGAGTTGTCATACAACTTTTACTGGAGAAATATTTCATTAATTTCAATAAATCAAATCTATACTTATATAAATATTTATACTGTGGAAAATTGAATATATAATGAAATCAAGATGAGATAAGATCTGTGGAGGCAGTGAGATTTATACTAAAAAATATGTATTTATTGAAATCCAAACCAGTAATTTAAAAACATAATTATACAAGTTCGTCTCTTAACGGAGTATAACAGATTACATTAGAAAAGTGTAATTGTGCACATGCCAATCATCTCATTTAATGTACACATTGGCCAATCTTTTGAGAATGAAATATATTGTTTCAAGTGTTATTGTAATGTGCGTATTTTACTTTTTAGGGGACAAGCTTGTACCTGGAGCCAGAGAGGTTCTTACTGACATTTTTAAAAGCTGTATGCATTCAGAGCAGATGCTGAGCCTCACACCAACCAAACCAATCAAAGTGTCCGATATTTATCTCAGCAAAGAGCAGATCAATTCTCAGACCCCTGGCAATCTGTTGCACACATTCTTCACAAATGTTCGTTCTCATAAGAAAGTGCTTGACGACCAGCTAACGCAGGTAAAATCTGTTTCTTTAAACAAATGTAAGATTTGTTTCACACTATGATGTTTTTTTGTGATTTCAAGATTTTGCGAAAATATGGCACTCTCAAACCAAATAAAAACAAGTATAACAAAGCGGGGAAAGAGCAGCACCAAGCCAAGGTAGTTAGCACCAAGAGGCCTATCACTAAGCCCCCCACCAAAGAGAAGTCTGTGCTCAACAGTGTGCGGTGAGTCAATAAAACACTCTTTACCTCTATTACTTTTTGTGCATGTACTTATTTGTGCGTCTTATAGAACTGCACTTAGTGAAAAGAAGGCTGTTTTAAAGCCAAAATCTCCAGAGAAATCCAAACCTGATGAAAAGGATTTGGAAAAGTCTCCTGCCAAAAAACCTGAAGGTTGGCTACATGCAGACACACAAAAGAAGTATTTATATGTTAGAACGGTGTCCAAAGTAATTAGCAAAACTCTTTGATGTTTTTCTTTAAGTTTCCGAAGAAAAATTCTTGACATTGGAAGGATTTCATAAATTTGCGGTTGACCGAGCCAAACAGGACATTCGCAGTGTGTGGAGGGCAATTCTGGCTTGTGGATATGACCTTCACTTCGAAAGGTGACTTTAATATATTACATAATAAGCACATTTCTGGACGACAGAATTCATAATTATAGTAAGGTACTAGTCACTGGTGCCGAACTTGACCAGTAGTCCCTCAGACACTTTAAACCCTTCACACAGTTGTACTTCCCACTTTTTTTTGTCACATAGATGCACCTGCATGGACACTCGGCATGCACAAAAGGCGTCTCGGAAGTGGACTTTGGAGATGGACGTTGCATTGGTCCAGTACATCAACAGACTCTGTCGTCACTTGGCTATCACGCCGGCCCGCCTGCACCCACATGAAGTTTACCTGGACTCCAGTGATACTGCTGATCCTCGTGTGGCTTGTCTGCTAAGTAGGAACATGTTTGTTTTTACTCTTTAGTATAGCAGTTGCTGGTCTTATGTATTATTGTATGTTTCATGTGTGTTTCATGAAGATGTGCCTGTGGAAAGCCTGCGTTTGCGGTTTGCTCTGCTTCAGTCTCTAAACAACACCCTGGAAAGCTTCTTTCTACCTCTGGTGGAGTTGCGACAAACTCGTACCTATCAAAACAGTATTGCTGCATTACTATGTGAAGCCAAAGGTAAGTACACAATAACCAAAGGCTATGAAGAACAGGTGAAGATACTTAACCAGTATTAATATGTTGTATATACTATTCACAGGCTTAATATTTTATGATACTAAAGTCACAGTTATGAACAGAGTGCTGAATGCTACAGTACAGCGCACAGCTGACCATGCAGCTCCTGAAATATCTCTGGACCCTCTGGAGATTGTTGGAGGTAAACATTCAGTACCACAGTATTATTAACTTGATTACTCTTACTATTTATTTTCCCTATATTTTGACCTCTGTTTTTTTCTCAATCTCAAAATTAATAATTACAATCACATTGAAATATATTTTACTTAATTTAAGTACTTAATGATGAACTTATGAACTTTATTATATCAATCCATCATTGTCATTGATTATAACAGAATATGTTTCACAGGTGAGATTAGAACATCAGAGAACACATATTTCTGCCAGGCTGCACGGCAGCTGGCTTGTGTCTCATCCTCTCAGCTCTGTGTGAAACTCGCCAGTGGAGGAGACCCTACCTATGCCTTCAACATTCGCTTTACTGGAGAAGAAGTTCATGGCACAAGTGTGTTTTTGTCCATTTCAACCTCCTGTGTTCCCTGTATGTGGTGTCTTAAGATCTGCATCTTCTTTAGGTGGCTCCTTCAGACACTTCCTATGGCAGGTGTGTAAGGAGCTGCAGAGTTCGGCTCTTTCTCTATTGCTTCCATGTCCAAGTGCTGCTGCCAACCGCAACAAGGTAAATCTTTCAATTTAATCTTGATCTTTCATAAGACACTCACTGATATTTAAACAATGATGTATTATTTTTAGGGGAAGTATATCTTGACACCATGCCCCATCAGTTACTCAGAGGAACAGTTGCTCCACTTCTTTGGTCAGCTGCTGGGCATTGCCATCCGAGCAGATATCCCACTCCCATTAGACTTACTGAGCTCCTTCTGGAAGGGTTTGGTGGGGGAGAGCCTGGATCCAGAGCACGACCTACAAGAAGCCGATGTCCTTACATACAACTTGGTTCAAAAGTTTGAAAATGTAATGCTCAGTTTCTTGATTAAGTTTTTTTTGTGTGGCTTTCTCTGTTTTTGATTTGAGTGTTTTTGAACAGCTTAGTGATGATGCCGAGTTGGAATCGCTCTGTGCAGAGATTTCTTCCCAGCATCAGTCAGGGGAAAGTCCAGACTCCCCTAGCCGGCCGTGCTGTACCTTCACTTATTTTACGATGAGCGGTGAAGAGGTGGAGTTATGCCAGGGCGGACGCAACCGCACTGTTTGGTACAGTCTTGTTCATACTATGACTTTTATAGTGGGAGGTTTTGCACGTTCTCCCTGTGTCTACTCCCGTTTCCTCCAGCTTCTCTGATTATATGTATAATCAGAGACTACGGCTAAAAACAGTTAGATTAGGCTCCTCCCCTTAGGGGAAAGATTTTGAAATCTCAGTGGGACTATTCTGATTCAAAAAGGATCAATGAAATAAGATAAAGGTGAACTCAATGGATGTGTGGGATAGAAATGGGAAAAGGTGTTATTCCCTGGACAGTAGTGGTCCGGGGACTATGCCATCCATTTTGAATCCTGCTCTGTTCTAGATAACTAAAACATGCTTTTAAAACCTCTTCTGTAGTTGGGAAAACAAGGATATGTACGCTCGTGCAGTGAGGAACCTTCGCCTAAGAGAATTGCAGAATATGGAGTGTATGACTGCTGTGCGTGCGGGTCTGGCCTCCATCATCCCTCTTCAGCTCCTCACTATGCTCAGTCCTTTTGAAGTGGAGTTGCGCACCTGTGGCCTACCATACATAAACTTGGAATTTCTGAAGGTTTGTATAACCAAGTGTATATAGATTGTCTTCGATGCACTATTCTAGCACTCATTGGAACGATAGGCATTTTCACATGGGCCTTGGTTATCTGTGTCCCCCAGAGGTGTGTTCAACTAAACTTGTACAAATGACAGTTAATACTGTAGCCTGTGCTTTCCAGCTGCACTTGTCTTTGTAGCATTTCCCCTACATGAAGTATACTGCTTTCTATACTCTGCTTCTTTATTAAGCTAAAGATGAGGATTTTATTTTCTTTTGCTTTATTCCTTATTTTCAAACCAAGGCCGTCCTGGCCCTTCTGTTAAGTTGGGCCCAGCGGAAACCATTTAAGCAGTTCAACACTACTCACTTTGAGAGTGTGAAAACGTGCAACTTGAGCTCAGCCGTGCGGAGTCAGACCGGTGTAAGAACGCCTTATATTATTTATTTATTCAAGGAGTCCTGCTTTGAACATCCAATGAAATCACCCCTTTTCTTTGCATAAACAAAGGAAGACCTTTATGGAATAATGTTTTGTTTTTCTTTTTGTTATGTACAGGCTCACACTATGTACCAGGTGGGTCTGATGGAAACTGATCAGCACATAGAGTTCTTCTGGACTGCACTTGAGATGTTTACACAGGAGGAGCTCTGCAAATTCATCAAGTTTGCGTGCAACCAAGAGCGCATCCCTTTCACCTGCCCCTGCAAAGATGGAGGCCCAGACACTGCACATGTTCCTCCTTATCCCATGAAGATAGCTCCTCCTGATGGAGCCGCAGGTTTGTGCACCTTTTTATTCAATGTGTTTTCATTTGATATGATATTGCAAGGCAAGTTTATTTGTATAGCAAAATTCATACACAAGGCAACTCAAAGTGCTGAACAAAATAAGAAAGCATTAAAATCATAAATCATCACAGTACATCAAAAAATATTTAATCCCTCAGTTGAATGCACAGCTAAACAGAACTGTTTTTAACCTGGTTTTAAACATTGTCAGAGAGGAGGCCTGTCTAAGGAGAGACTTTGTATGTAGTGAAGTAGTTACTGACGTATGCCTTTAGATAAGGTGTGCTAATATCATGTGGGCTGCTTATCATGGCTAACAGTTCAATACGCGTACCTCAGTGGCCTCATACTTGACACAACAAAGGGACTGCTAGTATAGTGAGGCAAGTATTTTCTAATAATTGTAATCAAATTATTTCAGAAGGCACTAAACGTTTGTCTTATGTTGGTATGTACTTTTCATTTCTTAAAACACAGCATTTGTTTTTCCAGGTCAGCCTGACTCTCGCTACATCCGAGTGGAGACGTGCATGTTCATGGTCAAACTGCCTCAGTACACTTCTTTGGACGTGATGCTGGAGAAACTCCGTTATGCCATTCACTATCGTGAGGATCCACTCAGCGGCTGAGTGCACTTGATGGTGGTGTCATTTTCCACTGTTCTCAACAAAATCTACTCGTTTTTTATTTTTGCTTCTTTTGGCTTTTTTGGCTTTTTTGCTATTTTAATCCAAGTTGAAATGTTGAGTTTTTATATACAATTCAGGGAAGACTAGTTGACATTGAAGCTGCAGATGTGATTGTTCTGGTTGCACTGAGTATGAGGAGCATTGGGTTTGTTTTTCTGCCCTTTCTATCCTCGTGATGGAGGCTTTTCTCAATTTATGTGAATCGAAATGTGATTAGATGAGGCCAGTTGTTCTTCTGCTGCAAACGTCACAAACGAGAAGAACACTAAACTGTGACTGGTCTGTAATTTGAAGGAATATGTTTCTGTGAAAACGGTCACAAACTCCATTACTCAAAGCTTGATCTAGCTGCCTCCCTCTGCCCTCCTCTAGGGGCTGATGTATAGTGATTTGCCTTTTGCTGTTGGAGCCTCTTTGAACAAAATGAAACTCGTACAAATATGTGAACTGAGGTGTGAGTGAAGAAGGGACAGGTGCTGCCTACTCTAATCAGCTCAAATGCTGTACAATATATTACACTGTTGTTGCCTGTTTGAAATACAGTATTTACTGCTAAATGTATGCCTAAACTAAAACATTTTATCTAAATCTCAACAAATATCCAATTAGTGTTCTATAGTAATTTGCTGTTTAAATATCAATGCATTTAGGCAGCATAGCGGGCCTGGCTGAAAGGGTTTACTGTACTCTGCTCCCTAATCTACCATCTGATTGGGGCAGTTCTGCCTTTTTCCTAAAATAGGATCTGTATTCTTTGTTCTCACCATAACCAAACATTTAGCTCTGTACAAATGAATACATAAAATTGTGTATATAGACTAAAGTTATGTTTAAAGGCATTTTCTATTTGCGATCATTTCACCTCCATTTATATTGGTTTGCACTATCCTTACAAAGTTAAAAAAAGTAAAAGTTAGATTTTTATCATGGGATTATTGAATCACTATCACTTTGTGTCTTGTATTTGGTGAAGAATGGATTTTTGTCATCACTTTCTAAATGTTGCTCTACTGGAGTTTTATTTGATCTGCTTTGATTTGTTGTGTTGCTTGCAGATTTTGAAGGGTGTAAGCTGCTGCTAACAGGGACGCTCTCACTCTTCTGCTTTTTCTTCTGGCAGGAATGATTACACTAAAGGACATATTCATACAAAGATGTTGCGATAAATTGTAAGCTGTACATTTATGTGATATTTATTACAATTATTTATGGTTGCATTAACTTTTACTGTCTTACCTCTGCACATCAGAAGCTTGACATATCTAAAAGTGGATTATACAGATGTAAACATTGAGATGGCATTTGAGATTTCAGTCACAATAAAGACATGTCTCATGTTCAACACACTTGGTCTTCCTTCCACACCTGCTGTTAAAAGGCTTACCATTATGGGCTGGGGGCAATATGCTTTTGTCATTCATTATTTTATACAGTTCTGTGAGACATCAGAACACAAAGCTTATGCAAATGGTGTTGATACCATGCAAATGAGCTCCAACTGAGAAAAAGGCTGTTTTCTTAGAGAACATGTCGAGAGTTATGAAAGAAACTCATGTCTGGCATGTTTTGTCCCCTGGCGTCCCGCTGGGGTCCTGTGACAAACCTCTGTTACATCATGTGCATGTGAACCAGACACCAGCACAGTTCTGACCAGTTAAATCTGGATTCATGTGTGACTCCTGAAAGACCTCTCTTCAGCTGACATATCCGTGTAGGATCCTTTTGAACTTGAATAAAGGGCTAACACAAAATTAGTTTTATAATTAAAAAATAATACAATACATGTTTATCTTGTGATTTTACTACACCAAAATGACATTCACATGACGTAAAATGTACAGCTTTGTTCAGAGTACCATTTAAAGGAATCATGAGCAACACCCTTGGTCTGAGGCCACACCAACAAAACAAACTCTTTAGCCAATCCACAGTCAGAACATGTGCCACGACCCCAGTTAATTAACTAATAAGACTAACAGTTGAGGTCACTGTCATATGACTGGTCCATAAATCCACTAAAACAATCAACCCTAAAATTAGGGCTGTGCATTTAATAATGTATCGGTTTTATATAGCGCTTTTTGGACACTTTGGTGATAAACTACTACTGTAGCCACAGCTGCCCTGAGGCACACTGACAGAAGCGAGGTAACCAGCATGTGCCACACAACGGCAGTTTGGCACTTTACAGCTGCAGCCGCCCCACTGTGGCATCAGGTGTTCCCAGAGGTTAAGTGTCTTGCCAAGGACACAATGACAGCCGTCAGTGGGAGTCGATGGGGAAAGTTGGGCTCAAACCCACAACCCTCTGGCTCAAAGGCCAATGCTCTACCAACTGAGCTACTGTCACTCTACATTTATATGAAGCAGTTTAAATAAAGTAGAGACCAAAAAAATTATACATTTAATTTTATTGAATGCAAAAAAGCTATATAGCTACTCACATTGAGAAGACATGTCTAGTACATAATACATCAGTGCATTGTTTTATTCATTTTATATCAACATAGAAAGGAAATTACATACGCTGCCTCTTGATGTTGCTTGTTTTTAACACTTGTCCTTATAATACTCACATAAATAAATATACAAAAATATACAATAATAAAAATTATCCTATACATTTTATTAATCATATGTACAACTTTCCAGAGGTCTGGTGAAGATGTTAAAGTGAGTTTGCAGCTCTATGAAAAACAATCCACAGTCTGGCTCCATAAGAGGAAAACGTGATCTGTCCAAAAGATGTTCTGTTTTCACAGCTAATCACACATTCACTCTGAAGAGAGCAATTCTGGAATGATTAAGACAACAGAGCACCAGAAAGACCACAACATCATTCAGAATGCAGTGCTACACAATGCCCAGCTGCTTTTTGAGATTCCATAGCTGCTCCATGCTGATGTTGTTGCCCCCACACACCACAATGACCACAGGACCTAATGCCTTTGCAAGCTTATCCTCATCCTGGAGCGTTTTAATAATGTCACTGTACACCGCTGCCAGAGCTGCACCGCAGGCCGGCTCCACCAGGATCTTCTCATCATCTACACAAAAACAGACATCACTTTCATCATATCACTTTTCAAAGAAGAAGGTTTGGACTTTGCCTCCTTTGCAACAATGAAATGTACATACCTACAAAGCGCTCGACAGCTTTGACAGCCTCACTGTCTGTGACTAATTGTGAAAAGACGGTGTGCTCCTTTACTAACTTCATTGTTTGTTCGGAAACTCTGGTCAAGCCCAATGTTGTGGCAATACTGAAAAAAAAGACAATTTAAGATTCAGGATTTAAAACATGCTCGAGTTTTGCTAACATACCTTGTTATTTCTGGTAAAGTCACAAGCTCTCCTGCCTTCATGGCTGCGTTCAGGCTGTGGGCTCCAATGGTTTCCATGGCAACGATGGGCACATCGTCCCAGCCGGCTCGGCGCAGTCCCTCCACCACTCCGTTCAGCAGACCTCCCCCTCCCACCGACAGCACCACCGCTCCAGGCTTCTCTCTCAGGTCTTGCTCCAGTTCTTTCACCAGGGACGTGTGGCCTTCCCTGCAATCCACCACAGAAAGACAGATGTTGAATGTGAACAATATTCTAGAGCCTTAATCAAGTACAAACTGTTTTGTATTATGCTTCTTTATAATGAATGTGTCATGACTCATAGAGACATAATGATTAGGACTGTATAGCACGGTTCCAGACTAAAATGTTTAGCTTTTTTGTGCACCAGACTTCACAGTCAATTAAATGTTTTTGAATAAGTAGTATTAATTTTACTAGATTAATCAACAACATTTAAGCTTCTAGAATAAATATTTGTTCAATATTGTATAATTGATTTGATACCAGCGTTAACCTGTGTGCTACCCTCGGGTCAAAGTGACCCACCATAGTGAATAAAAGTTGACCTTTTAGACCCTAAATTAGGGTAAATTAGACCCTAATTTAGACCCTAAATTAGGGTCTAAAGGGGTCTAAATGAGCAAGGACTGGTCAAGTTCTAATTGTTGGAAAATACAGCACATTGCAAACTTACCAGATGAGTGGATCATCAAAAGGAGAGATAAAAATCCAATCAGGGTTGTTTGCAACCAGCTGCTGACCATAATCAATGCTTTCATTTAATGCCTGTAAAAGATATTTCAAGTTACATTTCTGGACAAGAGAGAGATTTGATGAAAAATAAGAACTTACTTTCCCATGAATAACTACATTGGCCCCTTCATCCTTCAGCCGCTCAACAGTGGAGTTGGGGGTGACACTGGGAACCACTATAGTGGCAGGGATCCCCAGCTGCCGTGCAGAATAAGCTGCTGCCATTCCAGCATTACCTCCTGTAGGACAAACACAGGCCTAATGCAGTGCAGACCAGAGAGAGACTTAGATATATGCCAGTGTGACAGGACTCACCAGAGCAGCACACAAACCGCTGGCATCCTCTCTCAGCCCACTGTAACAATAACACAAAAACAAATGGAATGAAGTGGGACTAAACATTCACTCTCTAAACAAACACTATGCGGAACATTATTACTCACTGTTTTGCATAAGTGACCAATGCCCCTTATTTTGAACGAGCCAGTAGGCTGAGATGAGTCCAGTTTGAGGTAAATGGAGGTCCCTGCCACTTTGCTCAGTGCAAGGCTGTGTCGAACTGGAGTGGATACATGGAGGTATGTGTGTGTCTTCATTTTACTGGATTAAGAGAAAACAATGTTTTCACTGTGTGGATATCTAATAGGATTATTCATTCCCGGTTTAATTTTTAAAGAAAAACAAAACAGGGCCTTTTTTCTTGACTTACCAGGTGGAGATAAATGTAGTCCAGGTTTATTTCTCAATACCCATGCAAATAGTATTTATATGCACTTGACAGGAGGGCTTGGCACTAAGGCCCACTTGTTGACCTATCAGCAGCAGCCATAAACTCTGTGGCCACTCCCAAAGACTTCAAGGATGAGACAGCACCAGGATGAAATGACTTGGTATTGTTCATTATACTCTCTAGATTCCTCTAGTTCCTCTTTTTACAGCCCTCTTCTTTAAAGTTATTCTATGACTATTACCACCAGTCTATTACAGACAATTCTGCGTATGGGCCAAGACTATGTGCTAATTATTATATTATAAGAGGCAAATAACAATATATGGCTCTCTACGATAATACTGAAAATGCCATTGGTTTGTGTTGTGAACCCTGTCACTCTTTGATCCGATGTCTCATAACTCCTGCCGCTAAAGGAAGTCATAATGGAGCAACAGGACGCACTCCTGTCGTTACCAAAAAAAGTCGCTCCTATTTCTACTGCTACCAAAAGGGTCCCGCGCCTCCGGGCCACGCACAGTTCAAACCTGAAAGATCCGGACAGAACCGCCGCAGTTATCTCACGGAGCCAATGTCACATCAGCGTCTGCGAGCTGCAGGAGCAAGGCCAAGGCCATGGACAGAAACAATCAAAGCTTGGCAACAGTTACAGTGAAGTCTTGGGTAACATTTGGGTCTATGGTTATTATGAAAATTGTCTAGACCAAAACATGCGTAGACTGTAGATGTCAAGACCCTTTTAAACATATACATAATTTCATACAAATATAGTTTTATAGTAGTAATTTACACTACTACCTGTAGTAGCATTGCAAGTTGAAATGCTTAGATTTTTTTTTTTTTTAAAACACATTGTTATAAAAAAACGTACGGAGGACCAAAACTGTCAAAATTTTACATAATGTCACAATCTGCATATTATTTTTGATATAAAGCTACAAATTATGAGATTTAATACATTTATATTATTATTATACAAAGTTTTTTTGTTCAAATCAAATGATAAAGCTTTCTGTGTGCATTTCTATCTCCTAGTTCATGTGGAGGTTCACGCAGACAGACCAGCACTGCACCTCCTCACTAGGTTCTCTAGGCTACATGAGAGCGCCATCTGTAGGCTCACACCTGTAAGCACAGTTTTAGCAGATAGGTCGTCATGGAAGACCATGGAACGATTACCGGCTCTGAAACTGAATACATTATTGGTTTGACTGAATTTCTCCATTGTAAGATTAATAAAGTATATCTGATGTTTTCTTTATTTGTTCATTACCCAGAAAGGTTTTCTGGGTAATATATTATGTAAAAGGGTAGGTCTGCAGACAGAGCAGAGGAAAGTTCTACTCTGTCAATGACCCATCCTGTGTCATGGGACCATGAATCTATAATAATCACGCATGGGACAAAGAAACAGAAACAATTATTCATTCAATGCAAAGGTTGGCTACACAGATGACCCATAATATGTTTTCTTTTGCATGGAAATCTTAATTTTGTTGTTGTTTGTGGCTGGTTCACTGTAGAAACCCAGGGGTCACGTATGCATTATCTCAAATTGTCTTCCAGTTTATCCGGATAAGACCCAGAAAGTGTAACCACATGTGTTTTCCAGAGGATCCCAGCAACAGGACATCTGGAGGACACCCCAGCAGGAAAAATGGAGAGCCTTCACTAAAATAGACCTGCGGTGACTGAGGAACACTGTCGTAACAACACAACAGTTTGGAGGTAAAGGTCTGTCTGTACTGAGCCTGTATTGAAAAGAATTTGTACAAAAATAAATGCAATGCTAAATTTGGTAATACTGCTAGTTTTTTTAACATAATTCTCATATATTATTGTAATGAAATAAACAAAACAAATATTAGTAATCAGCAATATTCTGTGGTAGACTTTTCAGAAATATAGGCCCACCCACTGTACAGGATGTTTTTAAGATTTGAATAAAAAAAGACTGAGTTTCTCACCACCAAGTGAATATAGTATGGGAATTAGATAACTATAAAGTGATCTGGCCTTAGGATACAATGACCCAATTGTGTATCTGCTATGATTGTGTGCCCATGTTTTGTTCTTTCGATGTCTTGTTATGTTCTGATTGTTCTCTTGATGTGACACAAATGCTTATCCATGTATGACGTATGTGTGACGTAAACGTTGACTTTATAGACCATATCCTAAATATGTTCTGTCTGAAAAAGCCACTGAAAAATCCTGAAATAACCTGAAAGAACTGAAGAAACAGAGAATAAACATCCAAGCTGTGGTGCGCAAAGATCCCGTCTCTGTGTGCTGATTTTCCACAATAGCAAACAGAATAGAGCACTTTAATGATCTTGCACTTGTATTGAAACTGTTTTAGTCGATTGATTTCACAGTGACAATTGTTTACTGTTTTGTTTCTGTTCTTTTGTTGTTTTATGAATGTACTTGTCATGTGCACACTGGGGACTTTGAAAAATGTATTCCAATGTGTTTTTACTGCAAATGGCAAATAAATGAATCTGAAGCTCATGAGGGCTTTATGTTTGTTTCATTAAACTTGTTGTCTATGCCAGCAGAATTAGTCTGCTTTAAGTAACATTTAGTGAACAAATACGGCCACAACTTTCTGTCTTTAGCTTATTAGGAGACATTTCACATTCTACATACTGAGAAATGATTGGCTGAGAGAGTGCTGGTACTCTCTTTTTCACAAGTTGAAGAAAAGATTTGACAGAGGCCAAAAATGCATGCATGTGGAAACTACGGATTTTTATGATATTGTTTTTTTTTTGTGGTTTCACAGTTGGGCATCAAGGGTGAATAATAAATAAATTCATACGTTATTTACATTATAATAACCGGCAAGCTTTTAAATATATGGATTATTAAAGGGATTGTCTGCAGTTTGTCAGAAAGAGAGAGAGAGAGAGAGGTGCTTGATTTGAAAAAAACGACGCAAGCTCCCTCCCCCTTCCTTTCTGATTGGTCTACACCTATGTTTCCGTAACACATTTAAATGTTAATGAGAGAACACATTATACATAAACATTATTAATACACATGCACGGAGGTTTTCAGAATTATTTGTTAACGTTTTCATGAAAAAAAAAATGTTTTTATGCACAGAAAAAACGATCGCGGCAAACCCGGAAGAAGCTATTATCATGAATTGCACATTATAGGAGGATCTGATTATGGTCGGCACTAGATCATATACGGAATCGGGACGAAACCGGAAGTAACAATCCTACTTTCAAATTAATTTAATAAACTAATTCGTCCTTAAATGGTGACTGGTTAAGTTTTAGGTGTTTAAGTAAGATGGTTAAGTTTAGGGCTAAGGCTGGGTTGGGGTTATGTTATGGGAATGGCTGGTTAAGTTTAGGCATGAATAGGTAGTTTGTTATTTTTACTTCCGCTTCCGTCCCGATTCCGTATATGATCTAGTGCTGACCATCTGATTATGGATATAAGTTCAGTATATAAATGATTATGGATTAAGGTTCAGTATATAAATGATTATGGATATAGGTTCAGTGTATAAATGGGTAACTCAGCGCGGATGTTCAGAATTCTTTGTTCAGTTTTCATTTAGTTTCAGAGCCTAATAGAGGCTTGATTTGGAGGTTCCGTGAAAACAAACAACTGAGCATGCGCAGCTACGAGCATCAGCGCGATGATTGACAGCCCTCATGACTCGATTGGTTAACGTGGACAGCATCGTGGATTCTGAGGCTGAGCTATACATAGTTCCCACAGACCAATGAATGTCACATGACCTCCTCGGAGACGCCATCTTTGATGGCACGCTGCTGTGTTTGTGCATTCCATTAAACAAAAGAATGAGAATAAATGTAGATATTCAAACGCAAATTGGAAAAAAAGGGCAACTTTTGAGCAAATAATTGTATATTAATACAATGGCACCACAGTTTAACGTGCTACGGACATGTTTTACATATTTGATCAAATTATGCAGCAAAAATTAACAAGCAATGCAAACATTTCTCAAAAACTTTAGATTTAATACCAGTTGGAGCTCCATTTAATTATTTTAATTATATTAACAATTAATTTAATTAATGCTAATGCCACACGGACACTCTGGATTGCTGTTATTGTTTATTTCCGCGTTTTTGACCGTATGTTTCGGTGAATGGTGGGCAACTGATTTTTCCAGGCGTAAAGAGCAGTTTATTTTATGACACAGATCTTTTTACAGAAGCAATGCTGTTTGTGAACATTGTTTTAGCCCACCATAGAACTATTATTATCTATTTAATACATTTACGTTGCCCTCGAGAGCCTCGGACGCGACACCGATCCTCCTCATAATAAAGTAATCTAAATAATGAAACTCTCAAGTTACCAGATATCAGCATACACAAGTTAGTACTGAGTAAATTACGTCTGTCAACACATTATAAGATACGATACGCACCTGACACAAAGTGCTCCGAGCATATTCTTGCGTGTTTTGAGGGAGTTTCTTGCCTGTTTATCTTCGCAAGCCATAACCTCCGTGGTTGTTCTGACAAAAGCTTAGTCTTCTCACATTCATGAAGTCTAATGATGGGTATACTGTAAAATCCAAGTTTAACGGAACTTCCGGCACGATTTGAACATCCATTGACCCAGCAGGAGATGACCATTTTCAACTTTATCACGACATTAACACGTTTCAGCTTCTTTTTCTATTGTTTTGCCCACAGAATGCCAACACAAATGGCGCCGGGTCGGCAAATCCCCGTATGTAGTGACGTCATGTGGGAACTATGTATAGCTAAGAGAAGGGAAGGCGGGACTTAACTGTAATATTAGAATTAATATTATGACTTATTTATATCAACATTTAAGGTCAGAAATTTGTAATTAATTTAGAGTTACATACTATCACTTTAAAAACCAAAATTAAAAAGTTAAAGTTACTGACATGCCCTTTAACTTAAACTGGGTCGTGTGTTACTTCAATATCCCTCATCCAGCAGCTCCAGCAGCTCTTTGGCAGCGGGGAACACGGCATGGAAAAAAAGGAAAAGATTTTGACAACATGGCGCACTACTACTGTGGAGAAAAGTTTCCTCTGGGCCCTGAGCAGCGAGATTATTGACATCTGCATTGTACCGTGACAGAACAGACCGACAAGATAAGAAAGCACACGGCCGATCAGCGGCTTGGGATGAAAGCCACACGTTTTACGCTGACAAAAGCATTTTCCCAGGATGGAGAAGCCGCCGACTCTACGAGAAAAGGTAAATAAATGCACGAAAAGAATTGGGAGACGCGTAGGTTACACTTGATCGTGGCTTTAGCAGCTGCTTTCTATTAAAAACTGGACAAAATAAAGTTATTGCAGAGGAAGCGAGAGAGGCGAAGCTGTGACGTGCACATGAGGCAAGCTTTACCACCACTTTTAAAAGGGAAGCTATGGCGAAAAACTCTTTTAAATCTACTTCAATCTGACGTTGAGAAACTTTTATAGATTTGGTTGTATAAAAGGGAGTATTATGTTGTTGTTCTAATTGTCCTTAGATTACACACAGTTTAATTTCTGTATATTTAAACACTGAGTAATAAACCTGTATTGACCATAGACTGTATATATTGACTGTGTGTTTCACCTACCACTTATCCCCGCCCTCTTATCTGCTGATTATTCATATGACGAACTCCAGGTTTGACTTTTATTGTTTCATATTAACTACTCAATTAAATAAACAACAACACAATCAAGAAAAATAATGAAGGAAATCTCCATTATTTCCATCCATCCATTTTCTTCCGCTTCATCCGTTGCCGGGTTGTGGGGGCAGCAGTCTAAGCAGAGACGTCCAGATTTCCCTGTCCACGCACACCTCCTCCAGCTCATCCCAGGCCAGTGTGTCCTGTGTCTTCCCCGGGGTCTCCTCCCAGTGGGACATGCCCGGAAAATCTCCCCAGGGAGGCGTCCAGGAGGCATCCGGAACAGATGCCCGAGCCACCTCAACTGGTAGACTCTCAACGTGGAGAAGCAGCGGCTCTACCTTGAGCTCCTCCCGTGTGACTGAGCTCCTCACCTAATGTCTAAGAGAGCGCCAAAAATACTGAAAGCTTAAAATACGTGAAAAAACATAGATTCCATATTTTTAGATTTCAAAATAAAAGCGGGTAGAATACTGAAGACAAGGTAAATTGTGGTTTAGGCACTAATGTTGTGTCATTTTAATTGTGGAGTTTTAAGTTTAAGATTTAAGTCTATCGTTCCACCAGCCCTGTGACCCTCCGACATGGCAGTTGTCCTTTTCCCTCCTCTGTGGGCTACTTCCAATGTGTTGAGATAACAGTTACCTAACTATATAAAACATAACAAATCTACCAATAAAATGAACCAAAACAATTAATCTAACTTGCTCCTCTTTCTCAAAACCCTTTGGTTCTATCACTAGTTTTCACATACATGTATTTTGTTGTTCCATCTTCTTTGGACTGAAAAGTGAAAAAGAGAGGAACTCAGCCAATCAGCTCTCAGGCAAAACCTTAAATAGTATAAAGTTCTGGAAAATATAACCTGCTTTCTGATAAGATCTGCCACGCCTTACACAATACTCCTCTTCAATTATACCTTTTATTCCACCAATGTCATTGCTTGTTGACATTCCTCATATATATTCATGCATGAGGGAAGGCTGGAGTGTGAGTCTGACAGTCATGAAGAGAGATCTCAGTTGAAAATTAAAGCTTTCGATTAACCAGTCAAACCTATTTGCGTTCCCACTTTAACCTACTGTAGGCTCCTGAGCCTTGGGTAATGAGTGAGAGGACGAGATCACAGATACGTACAAAGCCCACACGGCTGCTTTGCTCTCTGTGCCTCTGGAAGTAATTACTGAGGCCTATTCCATAAAGTAGGTTAGGTGAGAAAGAGGTGAAAGGGAAACTTGCCCCGAAAGTGACGGCCAATAGAATCATTCTTTCAAAACACATTCACAATTAGCACATTGCAAAAACTACAATTATTTAAGTTCTTGGCTAACAAAAAAGAGAATAAATATGAGCAAAAACACATTAAATCCAACAATCAATCAATCAACAATGTTTATTTCAAAAACTGTGCAACACCAAATTACAGAAACAGTTTTGAAAAGGAGTTAGATAAAGCTTGATGGAGATTTGTCAATGGAATAAACATCTTGTCTTGTTGTCATTGGGCAGAACTGAAGCATCTCAATGAGAATAATTTATACAAACATTCAAAGTGTGTATGTAGATTGTAGTGCCTGAAGTGTTAGGAAATATTAGCAGTGAATATTCTTTTGAAAACATTTTTGCACCATTGGTCTCAACTCTATAAACCTTTGTACAGTTTTTCAGATATAACATTCTTGAAGTTATTTTATCTGGACAAAAATTACAGTACTTTTCTTACTACCGCTAACTGTATTTTGCCTGTTTTGCCAGACAACAGCAAAGCCAGTTGGGTGTGTGACAACAGATGAAGCAATCAAATCTGGTCTGAGGAAAAGTGAGTTTATGGAGAAGATCCAGCAGAGCAGCGAGGCCTGTCTGCGTGGGGACTTCCAGACGGCTGTGGATTTGTACAGTGAAGCGCTTAGAGTCGACCCCCAGAACTGCATCCTGTACAGTAACCGTTCGGCTGCACGTCTCAAACTGGGACAGCACCAGGCAGCGCTGGAGGACGCTCTAAAGGCAGGAGACATCAACCCTAAATGGCCAAAGGTAAATACAAACATTATTTTGTCTGCTCTGCACTGTTTGCTTGTTTTTAATCATAGCATTATACTAGAATAGTGTCATTTTATATTCTGCTCACATTTAAACCTATCCATGGCTGTTTATGTGGTCGATGATCAATATATAACATTTTCTGGGGTCTTGTCTTTGATCTTGTCGCAGCGGTGTGGACTCACCTGTGATAGATTTCACATTACTCACCCACATAGATTCAGTAGAGGACCAATTTCTCTTGTGATAGAAATATATTGATTTGACAATTTAGCATGGAGAGATACTTTTGTCTCAAAGAAAGATGGATGATAATGGGGCAGAGGCAGACTGATGATAATCCCTCCCTGCGTAATTCCTATTTAGCCAACGCATTTGAACCGTTTTAAAGTTATTGTGACTCATATATATATTTAAGGCAAGGTATGGCAAGGCAAGTTTATTTATATAGCACAATTCATACACAATGCAATTCAAAGTAAATAATCACAGAACATTAAAAAGAAAGATAAGAATATAAAATCCCTCAGTTGTATGCACAGCTAAACAGAACTGTCTTTAACCTGGTTTTAAACATTGTCAGAGAGGAGGCCAGTCTCACATCTTCAGGAAGATTTTAGCAGCATGAATCTGAAAAGCAGCCTCCCCATGTTTAGTTCTGACTCTGGGCACTAACAGGAGTCCAGTCCCTGTGCTCCTCAGAGTCCGGGCTGGTTCATATGGGACTAACATGTCACTAATATATTTTGGTGCGAGGCTATGGAGAGACTTGTACACAAGCAGAGCTGTTTTAAAGTCTATTCTCTGAGCCACAGGAAGCCAGTGCAGAGACCTGAGAACTGGACTAATGTGGTCGTACTTCCTGGTTCTTGTCAGGACTCGAGCTGCTGCATTTTGAATGTACTGCAGCTGTTTTACAGCCTGTTTGGACAGACCTGTGAGCAGGCCATTGCAGTAGTCTAACCTACTGGAGACAAATGCATGGATAAGAATCTCCAAGTCTGCTTTAGACACTATGTTTTTGATCCTGGCAATGTTTTTTAGATGGTAAAAAGCTGCTGATGTTACTGATTTGATGTGGCTATTAAAATTTAAGTCTGAGTCCAGTATTACCCCTAGATTTCTGACGTTGTTTGAAGGTTATAGGGAGAGAGACTGGAGGTGACAGATGACGCTCTCTCTTTGTTTCTGGGGACCAAAGACAATCATTTCAGGTCATTGTGTCCCTTATGTATATTTTTTAAGCCAACAATTTCAAACTACAATGATGTATACCTGTGTGAAGAATATTCCATCTGTTTAATTTTAAAGTGAAGTGCAAAGAATCAACATTTGCTTTGGAAAATGTCTTCATGTTAAAGTGTCTCCCCTATTGGACGTTTTGTTCAGTTGCCACTAGGGGGGAGTCTTGTCAAAGAGGATGACCAGCAAATGTCCTCTGAAGTGTTTTAGACTTTCTCTTCTGGCTTCTTCATTGTTTTATGTTTTATGAGCTGCGTTTGTATTCATATATTTCACCAAATATCACTGGATTTCAACTAGAGCCTTTTAGAAGATCTTTATTGCATTGTGATGAGCTTGGGGTTTGAAAAATTGAATACATTATTTTGTCATTGAATTGAATGATAGAATTGATTCATTAGATGCTCCAGCCTGAAGGAAGGTGGAAGTAAGATGGGCTGTAACTGGATTGTGGGTGATGGAAACAGGGATTAAATCAGAGAAGTGCGCTGGCATTTAGATCCTGTGCGACTCCGTAATATCATCAGTCATACGTCCTCTGACCACACTTCTGGATTGGCCTGTCAGACCTCGACAGCTATGGTTTTGCTGCCCCAAGCACCAGCGATCAGCCCAATCTATAAAGTCCAGCAGCCACACATACAGGGCCCTCTTGTCTCATCTGTCTGCTTTCCTCACTGCATGTGCCGTATGGAGTCTATGAGAAGAAATCAGCGTAATAAACATGGACAACTTTAGAGTCTGTGTGTCTCAAGCTCTAAATATATAAAAGAAGGACAAACTAGGGTGTAATTTCAGAGCCAGACTGAGGGTAACATGCTGTGGGCCAGATGGGGTTCAGTGTTTGTAGGGCTGTTTAGTTGATAGTTGAGGACCCCCTCGGAAACGAGATGTTTCATCTCAAGGGGTTATTCCTCTTAATAAAATGTTAATAATAATACATCGATCTATAGTTTGTCTATAGTTAGTCAACTAAACAGTTTTTATTATTCGACTATTTATAATAATTCAATAGTTTGCTTTCCTGTTCTAGAATTCTATTTCAGTTGGGGCGCAGGTGCCAATACAACTCCATGGGAAAGAAAATGTCCAAATGTTTTCCCAGGTAATAATTAGATTCACAAACCTGCCAACATCGCGCCTGTATTTCTATTTGATATGTTTGACAAAGAAAATACAGAACTTTGTCACAGTTTTTTTCATGTGGATTGGCCGAGGAATAGAGAAATGAGCTCTAAACTAAGACTAGAAGTTTGACTTCTGACAGTTTCCATAGTGACCAGGAAAGATTTTTCAGCTGCCCTCCACCGCAATGTTATGCACGCTTTGAAATGTTGTGATGTCACATGAATGCAACCTATTCCCAGATTTTTTCATTTCAGCTGTTTAATCAATATAGTTAAATTTCTCACAAAATATTGCAGTAATTTTATACCTAGTTGTTTTTAAATAAATGTATGCTTTGTGAATTTGGTTCAGATATGTAATAATTTTCCCCTGTTTAGTCGATTAAATGATCGTGAGGGCGTGCGTCCAGTCGATCAAGAATTTCTTTTGTTGACTACGACCCTATAGCAATGAGTTCTGTGTAGAATATAGTCAATAAGTATACATGTTTAAGCTCTATGTTTTCCATCGAATTAATTGCACAAATTTGGCTGAACATGTTTTTAATTCAAGCTTTCCACAGCGTTATCACAGTGTAAGGCAAAGGACCACATCCTTGAATGCCTCGTGTGCCTATCTGTGCTCCATCTGTCCCTCTCAACATGGCTGTATAATGGCGTGTTAAACAAACAGCTTTTCCTGCTATCAGTCCCAGCCTTGTGCATGAGCGCTGTCAGGGGAGCACTCAAGGAACCAAAAGACAAGTGGCTCTGCAGTGCCACAGGGACGAGGCTCTGTCATTTGCATATTCTCTGATTATATGTAATGATGGCTTCTATTTAGGGGATTCTGCCGGCTACACTGTCCTTCTACACGATGCTGCAGCTTCTGGTACCTACTCAACTAATCATGCTTTAAGTCCACACATTTCCACAGCTTGTGTTTGTGCTTACTTCATTATTGCTGACACAAAATGGGCCATTCATGTCTCGCTGGGATGTCCTTGGGTTTGATAAACATTTTTTGCTGTTGAAAAGGTTACTGTGTGGACTTCTGAAAAGGGACATTCATTACACTGACAGTGGGTTCTCTAATTGTCTGTAAGGTTGGCATCCAAGTATGATTCTTTGCGGTGATGATGGCACAAGCTGTTTTTAGGGTTTTGTGTCATGGGGTTTGGATTGAAAGAAGAATGTATTTTGTTGTATCTACTGTATGTAATAGAAACAGCAGCTCATACTGTATATTATTCTATACAGTCTATGTATACAACTCAACAATACATGGTGAATAATTACAGCTTGGAAAGATATAAAGAACACATACTGGTGAAGGTTACAATACATTTATTATATTTTAGACGCATCATAGCCTCCCTTAAGTTTATGTCTATTTAGTGGCTAAATAGACAAAACAATATAATACAATGATTGTGGTATAAGCAGTTGTGTTTGTCCCTTAACATGTGTGTGGGTTTGTGTGAGTGTTCATGTGTGGCGTCTGTTTGGGGCTAAAATAAGGTCTTTTCACCAGTTCCCTCTCGTTGCCCTCTACTGTTGTTTTCCGTCACTGCGCAGCTCACCATGGAGAGAACAGAGTCATGAACCACTAATAAGAGGGTTCCGATCCGCTGCTACCCAGCTGAGGCTTAAACTAATGAACAAATCAAATGAACGGCATGTAATTACAGGCCGCAGAGCACAGAACGGACAGAGGGTTGGCGCTAGTGGGCACAGACGTGACATTATTTGTCTGGAAAATTTTTGGAGAGACAAGAAGCTGTGAAGTTTTGGTTCTTTTCATTAAGCCCATACATACAAACCACGCTGGAGAGAAAGTAACCTCAGCTGCAGGAGTAACAATACAAAAGATAAGGCTCAATGGCTTCCTGGAAAACATGCAATAACTTTAGTTTAGCATGAATTGTTATAAGTACATGACATGTAACTGTCTGAAACCATAGTGCAGCAGTGTCTGGTGCATTGCTCAGTGAAATATTGAGATGATGTCAGCCACCAACTAAAACTCTGTTCCTTCCTCTACCTTTAATTCCTTATAATTTTACATGACTGATTCCAAAAGCTCACCCAGGTCGCTGTGATGGTGGCCAAGTGGTTTTCCCTCTCTGCCACCCAGGCGCCCCACTAAATTACAGTCTCTGGTAAAATTTAATCGCTTTCCACAAAACGGACGTAAACACAGAAAAGAACAAAACCAATCTATCATTCTGCAGTAGCCATAAATGCTTTTGTTCCTGTCTGGTGATGTAATGTGCATGACCTTCTGGTCACTGAACGAGGTAAGTCTCACTATCTGGAGACAGCATGACTCAGACAGCTCCTGATGTCACCCAGGTTTTAATTTGTCTGCATATAGCTCATGCAGAAGTGATTATCATGCTGGTACTCACCATTTCAGTTAAAAGAACACAGAAAATCTCTCTCTCTCTGTTTTCTAAATTGGGTCCAAGCATTGTATGGGTAAAAATCCCAACTCTTGTTATGCCACTTTGCAGATAACTAATTCAGAAATTAAATGCAGGCGTTTCTTGTCCCTGTTGAAATAAAGCTTGTCAAAGCGTAGGTAAACATCACACAACAAGAAACTTTCAATCATGGAAAAGAATGCTGTGCTCTTAGAATAGGTTTTCCCTCCGGATCATTGATTACCAGCTTAATAGCTTTTTGCTTGCTATTACATCGGAAGAAATGTCAAAAGGCTCAGAGAAAGCTCTGCTCATTGGCATGCCTGTAGCATAATCGTCTGCGGCTGATAGTGGATCAGCTTTGCAAGCTTGTCCAAATGAGGGAAACAATTGCTGCTTGCTCCCAGCACAAACCCTGCAGGTTATACAAGATTTCTTTCTTTTGGGCTTTTCTCCCTCAGCTTTATACACTGCAGGCTCCTCCCACATGGGACCCCACAGCTCAGGACCTAAGACCTGAATGTCTCCAGAATTAGCACAGGCTGGCTCTGAGAGGGAGAGCTGTCCCAGTGGAGAAACCACATAGAGCAGGCTGCAGAAGCCCATTAGTATACGGCACATAAACATGGCCAGATTAATAGTAGTACTGTGGGTTTATTTCGATCTTATCATCTGTCCTCTCCTTTCATTTTCATCTCTGAGCTTCAGGTGAAAACCATGCTCATTGTTCATCAAGGTCAACTACAGAAGCCATGTTCACAAAGACACTTTTATTGGTTGATAAGTTTTTTTGGTATAAACCAGTGGCAATTCTTTGCAGAAGTATTATAGGTAAACCCGGTTCCCTCTATTTATGATGTAGCCTGCCCTGAATCTTCCCAGAAGTCAGTTCGTAAATAGGCCACTAAAGTCTCCGGGTGATTCGTTGTGTCTAATAATACCAAGCATTTTTATCTTTTTCAATTATAATTGTATAGTTGGTGCTTAGGATATAGCTAATGAATGGTTTCTTATTAAAACAAAAGGCACAAGCCTAATACCTTAAAGAACCACTTCTCATACCATTTGTTTCTGTTGAACTTACAATGTTGTGCATTTTACAAAGGTTAATGTAAATGTCAGTGCCAATTACATGAAAACATTTGTCCAATAACAGTTTACATGAGTGTGTTTCTGTCAGATTCATTAGCAATCAGCTGTTTTTTCCTCCACTGCTGCTCATGGGGAACAAGAATGTAATCAAGATTTAGTTTAAGTCTGACCTACATTTTGTGTGTGGAGAGCTCCATAGTGCAGTATCCTGGTGATTACCGACTTAACTAGCATGTCATCTATGATTAATGATAGATTATTCCGAATAAATAATGAATGTTTGGAAATCTATGCTGAATGAACCAAAATATAACAGTATTAAGGTTTTAAAAATCCCAGATTTTGTCTCTCGATAGCAGGAAGTCCCACTTAATATTCAGCTCCAGCTCAAAGAAAGATAGATCATGTTTTTTAGAGCAAGTTTGTTGGAGTGTAATGGCCTGCAGCCTAATTCATTCTTCTGAAGTGCTCCTTGCAGATATCAGGGTTCGTTTTTAGGTAGCTAAATTACTCACTTGTGTCAGGTTATTACAATTAGCTGTTTGAATGTCGATGTTGTTGTGTCTTCTGCTGAATTCTTTTTCCC